TTAATTTTCCACGATTCACATAGAGAATTGGTTAGAAATCGTATAACAGTGGTTATTCTTCTTTTCCGTGATAATTCCGAGCCCGAAGGGTTTGCATTGCCCATCTGATATAACTGAAACAGCTTTGATCTTTTAATTTCCAGTTTTAACGAGTAACGAAATAGGATAAAAAAAAAACCGAGACACTTTGTGCAAATATAAATTACCTCATAATTGTTTCTATCGTCTTTAATGTGGTGGTATTTTTTTTAATGATTGCAAAAAATGAAAATTGTTGGCAACTGTGAATGTGTCTATAATCAATGTCCAATTTATAAGTTGAGACCTTGGCAGAAAATAATAATCACAATTGCCTTTTACTCGTGAAGAACTGTCTTGTACGAGACAATGTATGAGACTGGAAAAGTTGAAATGTTAATGAGCCCGCCATAAAATAAATGATTAAATGAATTTTTTTCTTCCGTAGAAGTATAATATTTTTATCCCTGAAATTTTAATCTTGGAAATCACACGCTCTGGGATGGATTATGCTATAAAAATAACAAAGCACTTTGACGTCGGGGTCTTATGACGGAATCGTCATTTTGAAATGATTTCGTTAGTGATAGTGGCTTCTTGCGTCTGGTACGTGACGACCAGGGGTCGACTGACATTTGAGTCTTCTATTTTCACGAGACAGACTGTCCAATGAGAAAGTTTGGCTTTACGACTGGGACACTATCACCAGACTGGTGCAGAATACGAATCTGGCCTCACATACCCTCGTCTCCATCACCATCAAACTTTATTTTGACTATTCCACAGGTCCAACTGATCCTATTCAAAATTTTGATTAATCTTCGCGGAGTTTTTCGGATGATACCAAAGCTTCAGACATTCTTCTCTCCTTCATAATTCAATTAGGTGGCATTGCTTCTAATCTATATCCCTCAATTGCGAGTTGGTTCCTACTGGGAAGTGTAACAAATGGTCATAAAAGTAACACCCACGACAGTTCCAATTTTCTCCAGGCAACCGCGCACCCCATTTCTTGTTCCATTCATGTGAATTACCGATCTGTATTTCTGCTGACTCTCACGAGCCACAAGAATCCAGGGTTTCGTTGCAATTCACTACTGTCCTACCCGCTTTAAATGATCTTTTCGCGAGTGTGCATGACTTGATTATACGAAGAAAATATAAATAGCGAACATAAAAATCGAGACGAGGAATCAGGGCAAAGCTATTGTCTACGATGAATGGACATTCCATTGAAAAATTATGCATTACCTGAAGCATTGATCTTTTGAAAAACTCAATAAATTCCACAAGTATGTTAGTCGATATTAGGGAAATGCAATCAATTGCAAATGCAATTAATTCTTCGAATACTTAACGTATCGTTAATTATTTTTACAACCATCGATCTCGTCATTCGATTAAAAACGAAAATATCGACTTCCGGCATTTCCAAAGGGCCTAGAGAAATCGTAAATCGTTCTTACGTCGATTTAGATTCAATTTCAGACGTGAACACTTGGACTTCATTTTAATATTCAGTTTGATGTTTCATTATTTCACGAACCACGCGAATATCGCCATATGAAAAACTGGATATGAATGACACTGAGCAAAAAGAAAGTTGAATAAAAAATAACGACAAAATTCAACCGAGAATTATGTTATCACCAGGAATAAAAGGAAAGTGCTTTGACACGCGAGGGAGTGAGTTCATTGGGTGATGCGCGAATGATATTCGCGTTTTATCTTTTGCAAGTCGTCCAAAGAGGTGTGAGATGTAGAAGTGCACAGAAGAGAGGGGAAAAGAAGAGAGTGAAAAAAAAAAGAAACATAGAGAAGGGTTGAAACGCATTTGAGAGGGTGGGTTTAGGTGAGAATGAAAAGGCGGAAAAGAGAAAAGCCCAGTAGATCGCCGTAAATTCACACGAAATAGCTCCACAGTAAAATATAGAGGTGGCTACATTCTGCATATGTCATCCAAAACCGTCTATCTTCTACCTTTTCCTCTTTGTCTGTCTCATTCAGTGGACCTCCACTCTGGATCATATGTACGTCGTATATTACCACGCGCGGTCGCTTCTCGCGACATCTTCTAACCCCCACATACGCTTCACCAAAATTGCGGTGAATATGTACGACAATTCTAGTATATATTTATACATGGCCTTCATTTTCGTTGCACTTATGAATTTTTAGTTGGAAATCGTTTTTCGAACCAGAAGGCTTTTAATTTCACATACTTTCATCTCTCATGGCATGTTTAATAACGAATGTTACCTCTTCGTGGTATGAAATATGAGCAAACATTACGTTGATTTTTTGCAATTAGTCGGGTGCGTCCTTTGGGGGCCCTTTACTTCATTAAGACGTCTTGTAGAATAGAAAAATTCTATGAAATTCAGGTAAAATATGAAATTCGAATTTTTTCGTTCCATGAAGAATCAAGAGAATCATATAACTCAGATATTTTTTTGAACCCTATCTTTTAAGCGTTCAGGTGAATGTACCAAAGAAAGAAAGGAATTATGACAAACACTGAAGAAAATGAGAGTGTTACGGATACGAATGATTTACTAATTATGGATAACGGATGGAACTGTATATTTTTCGAAAACCTATTGGTGAACTGGAGGACAAGGTTTGATGGTTATTTAATTTCGTCCACCATTGACAATGGACAAGAAAATGAAGATGGAAGTCTTTCCGTTTGGTAAGTGACCAAATCTGGAGGTTTGGGCAGAGGGCACGAGAGCCATAAACCCCCAGCATCTCCAGAGCCTGCAGGTTCTCGAGAACCTGTGGGTACTCCTGCACACGCGGGTGAAAACACGAGAGAGAGTGTCACACGTTCCCATAGCAACTGTGAAACGACTCCGCCTCTGTGACTCCCTCGGTTCGATATATCCCTCGCAAACCCTCTCCTCTCTTCTTCTTTTGCACTGTCGTTTTCCCCTTTTGCTACATCAATGCCCTCCGCATTTTCTCTTCCTCCGGCACCGGCTGTGGTAGGAGGTTTCCCTTATTTCTCATTTTCCTCCTTGTCCACCCAAGAAAATACGTCGCCATGGTCTTCATCTCCGAGAATAAAGAAATGTAAAAAAGCAGAAATTGTAACAGAAAAAAAAATAATGGGAATAAACGAGGGGTGAAAATAATGGTATTCGTACTCACTGGAAAAGGCAAAGTTCGGAACTCCATTCTGTTAATTTTGGTTGAAATATATTTTTTCCCCCTTTGTGTTATGCATTTTTACATTTGCATAAAATTCGATCGCTCCACGAAACTCATTTCATGCAGGTTGTACATTGCTACTCTCTCTTTCTACTCACTACATCGTACCCAGGATTTAATTTCGTTGAGTGCATCCAGTATGCGCGATCTGAGAACATTGGTATGTATATCTGTATATACGGATCACATATAAGCCGATATATAACCGCTTTCATTCCCTGTTATGCTCGCGCAATCATCCCGGACACTGAAAAAATGTGATATAACCGTTTTTTCCATATTTGACAGAGTGAGACTGATTCTTGCTTGTTTCCGGCATATTTTTTGCGATATCATAGTGAAGAAAAAAAAAGGAATTTGGAGGCGCCGGGTATCGATCCCGGTACCTCTCGCATGCTAAGCGAGCGCTCTACCATCTGAGCTACGCCCCCCGTGGAAGGTCTACAAAAAAACCGTCACTTTTTCCTCCAAGAGGATACGCACTCATGCCTGCCTCTATGAAGACCAAAAAACGACGGAAAAATTAATTATAACGATGGAGGAACATCTATCCCTGATTGAATAGACCACAGAAAAAATAAACCAATGTTAATTTTCCCATGTTCTATTAAGTTGGATGGGTTTTAACACGTTTTTGATGTGAGCTATTTCTTCTGCCTTTAGGTAGAAGAAGCCGACCAATAGACCATTTTTTAAAAATGAATAAATTGGCATTTTTTCTGTTCTGTTCAAAATTTTATTTAGAAGGTGAATAAATTTAGATATGAATAATTGCGTATCAACTTTCTAGATACTAAAACATCCGCTCAGCGTCGCAGACTTGTCACACGACTTGCTCGCTGTAGTGATCTCACCACTGCACCTCGACTACCGCTGCCTCATTAAATAATTAATATCTCAGGTCCTATGGCGAAACACCCTTCTGATATTTAAGCAGTGATTTTCTGACGTGTATTCTATGATATATGTTTTTTTTAGAATTTTTATATTCATTTATTGAGAAAAGTATTTTGTTCAATTTTTCCGTCCTAGGTGTGAAAAATACCATTTTTTCATTGAAACAGTGTGAAATGCCTCCCCCCCATTTTATTTTAGTTTCGCTTCCGAATGGATCTATTGATCATTTCCATGATTACGAGGATGTTATTGGTCGCTACAGCGGTCACTTATAGGTGGAACGCGCGACAACACGCATGATAGCCTAGTAATAGAATAATTTCAAAGATATTTTTAACTACAAGGGCAGAAACTAATGTCCATCGAAAATAATATAAAAAATAAATGAAGTCATAAAAGTGCCATTTGCTACGGAAGATACACATTATGAAACCCAACCGAATCTGGAGAAATTCGAAAGGAAATGAAGGAATTTAAAAAAAATAAGTCAATTGAAGAAGTTAAATGGAAAACCAAAGATAAGGAGATATAAACAACATTAATTCGAGTTGTGATTAAAACTTAAAACTGAACGAGACAAAAGTGGGAATCAAAAATCGCCTTTAAAAAGGCTGAGGTAGTTAAGAGTGAGTACAGTTCATTGCCATAATCAGAAACTATACGATAGTTCTATTCAACATCTCGTTGACTTCGAAGACAACAGTAATTACTATCAGTGATCCATTATGGCATTGATTTTAAATGATGAGAATGGGTAATAACCAATTTTATTATTGCTTCATTTATTTCGGAATAATTAATCTGAATGAAATTACTCGTTAATACCCTCGAGTTTTGAAAATTTCAGATTGGATAAAAATCAGCCGGCAGGCATGGATGCTAAAGATTTTATTGAATTCGGTAAAGCAAGCCTTGAATTCATTGTTAACTATAATGATACTATAAGGAATAGAAATGTTCTGCCAAGTGTTCAGCCTGGGTTTTTGAAAGAAAAGCTGCCAGCCGAAGCTCCAGAGGTGGGGGAAACTTGGCAGGAGGTGTTGAAGGACGTAAAGGAGATAATCGTGCCAGGAGTAAGTAAATTTCAAAAGTTATTGAGGAATCATGACTGACATGAATCACTGAATGAAAAAAATAATCGAATCTATTTTTTGCGACTGCTGGACTAAAATACTTTCCAATATTTTCCCGGAAAGTCGTATCGTTCACATGGAATGAATGTTTCTGATATAATGATATATTTATGCAATAACAATAGATAACGCATTGGAACTCACCAAATTTTCATGCCTACTTCCCTTGCGGCACTTCCTACCCAGCAATAATCGGCGAGCTCATGTGCGCTGGATTATCAACACTCAGTTTTTCCTGGATGTCATCACCTGCCGTCTCAGAATTGGAAGATCTGACTATGAATTGGTTAGGAAGGGCAATAGGGTTGCCAGAGCAGTTCTTGAGTGACACTGGAAAAGGTGGCCGTGGGATGCTGGAAGTAATTATTTCTGTCCCATGATAAAACTGACTAAAAATGTTACAACAATAACTTACCGTAAAAGTCGTCTTCCATCTTCTCTAATTGTATTTAATAGTTACGGTAAATCACAACTTTCAGAGTTCAGCGAGTGAGACAACAATGATTTGCCTGTTGGCAGCAAAGACGCGAACCCTTCGACGAATTAAAACCGAAAGCCCACATTTAGATCACGAGAATTTGGAATCTAAATTAGTGGCCTATACTTCAGGTACATCAAAACACCGAAGATAACAAAATAATGGGGCCCAGACTGTTGCTGTTATATTTAAACTATTGATATCTATTTGCTAATGCTTTTCAGAAGAGGCAAATTCATCTGTTGAAAAAGCGGGAGTTCTGGGCTCCATGAAAATGAAATTGCTACCAGCACAGGACGATGGCTCCCTGAACTATCTGATACTCATCAATGAGATATTAAAAGACATAGAGATTGGCCTCATTCCTTGTTATATGGTCGCAAACATCGGAACCACTGGCACTTGTGCTTTCGATAATTTAACTGAAATAGGACACGTCTGCAGAGCATTCGATATATGGCTCCATGTAGACGCTGCTTATGCAGGTATATAAAGAATATTCGAGAAAATATGAATAATCTAAAAAGTACTCTATAATTATGATTGAAGGTGGGGCTTTCGTATGTCCTGAATATCGATACCTCATGAATGGAGTGGGATATGTTGATTCCTTCAATTTCAACCCACACAAATGGCTTCTTACTAATTACGATTGTTCAGCTTTGTGGTAAGTTGTTCATTCCCAGAAACCATTCGCCAGATTTTGATCTCTACTTTATACTCTTTGTCTAATATAGGGTTCAACATAGTCATGATCTTATTGAAACCTTCCAACATGAATCGTTTGATTTGACTCATGCCAAGGAAAACGAGAAATATGAATACAAAGTGCGTACGTTGGCAAAGATTTACGACTCAAATTCCCTGAGTTGGAAATTATAATTATAAAATTATAGTTTCTCCAAAACTTCACGGTATTTCGTGAAAATCGTATGTATGTTTTCAGAATTGGCAAATTGCACAAGGCCGTCGATTTAGAGCTCTTAAATTATGGTTTGTCATGCGGATGTACGGGGTGGAGGGTTTGCAGGACCACATCCAGGAGGCAATAGCCTTGGCTAAAAAGTTTGAGGATTACGTGAATGGTGACGAGCGTTTTGAAATTGTCACGCCGAGATCTTTGGGACTCATCTGTTTCAGGATGAAGGTCTTTAGACTGAAAACACTCTCGATTTCAAAATTTAACTTTGTTTTCGTTATTGCTGATGAAATGGATGATATTTCAGGGTGAAGATGCACTGACGCAGGATCTTCTTAAGCGATTAATGCGCAGAAAGATAATCTACGTGATTTCTGCCACTCATCGGGGACGGTTAATGATCCGATTTGCAGTATGTACTGCTAATACCACTGAGGCGGATATCGAATTTGCATGGAAAGAGATAACAGAGCAGTCTGATATGGTTCTTCAATGCTCTTGTCACCAACCATCCCGATAATATTCGTTCTTTATATATTTTCATCCGGTTGGAGCAGTAATTAAAATGTGATGAAAGTAAAAACTGATGATATGTATATTGAAAATAATCAAAGGAATATTGCATCTTTGTATCGTTAAAATGTCGAACATGTCGAAATAATAAAAGTTTCAATTGAATGATGTTGAAAAATATTATCAATTTCCTATTGGCGATTCTAAAAATAGACATGGAATAACAAAAATAGAGTCATCAAATTGTCATTTAGTGGAAAGAATATACAAAGAAAACAAAAACTTAAAATGTGAGAATAATGGAGACAAGAGTCAATTAATTGACAGAAAAAATGGGTCGATAAATAAAATATCATTAAAAAAATACAAATTAAGATATGAGTGTTTAAAAACATTCAATTAAGAAGAAAAGAGTGGGAAGCGATAATCCTCTTTAAAAAGGCAGATGCAGTCAAGATCGAGTGTAGTATATTGTAGATCGAATTCGACTGCACAAACGAGAAAAAAAATCATCGATTTACTGGCAGCGAGATTTTCATATCAAGAAATCCAGTAATCGTCAGTCATTGACTTCATGAAATTCCTCCACTTGAATTATAATCGAAAGTTTTAATTAAAATCTATTAATTCGGTAGAATTTTCCAAATTTCAGATTGTTTAGATCCCGGGAACAATAGCCTAAAGTCATGGACAATAAAGATTTTCTGAATTTCGGACAGGCAGCGCTTGATTTCATAGTCGAATATAATGATAGTTTGAAGGATAAAAATGTTCTACCCAGTGTTCATCCCGGATATTTGGCGAAATTATTACCAACCGATGTGCCAACACAAGCGGAAACTTGGGAGAAAGTTTTGAAGGATGTAAAACATTTAATAGTGCCCGGAGTAAGTGCATTAAAAAAATTATTAAACAATTATAATTGAGAGAAAAGATTATTGGAATTCGTGGTTGTGGGACTAAAAGTGCCTTATTCCAAAATTACTGTTTATGCTATAAAAATAGTTAACCCATTGGAATTCACCGAACTTCCACGCCTACTTCTCTGGGAGCTCATCCTACCCAGCCATGATCGGCGAGCTCATATGCGCCGGATTATCAACAATCGGTTTCTCATGGATATCATCACCTGCCAGCACTGAATTGGAAGACATTTCTATGAATTGGTTAGGAAAGTTGATAGGACTACCGGAAATGTTCTTAAATGGTGAAGGAAGCTCGGGTGGTGGAGTCATAGAGGTCATTTTTAGTTGAAAATATTTCTGGTGATTTTTGTAAATTCACTTGTTTTATCATTAAGATGTATAAAAATTATAACATCCAGGGTTCTGCAAGCGAGGCAACATTAATTTGCCTGCTAGCAGCAAAGGATCGTATGGTTCGTCGTATTAAACAATTGCAACCGGACATGGACGTCGACGTGATCAAGTCGAAATTGGTGGCTTATACTTCAGGTAGAACCAAAAATGGAAAAACCATTAATTTTTCCATTGAAATGGCTACTATTACATTTATTTTTTATTACTTATTTTTGACGTTCTTATCCTTTTCAGTTGACGCGAATCCGTATGTCAAGAAAGCGGGACGTTTGGGCTCAATGAATATGAAATTCTTACCGATAGATAAGAATGGCGCCCTTAGTTATTTAACCCTCATTAAACAGATGTTAATTGATATAAAGGCTAAACTCATTCCTTGTTATGTAGTTGCAAACCTCGGAACGAGTACGGCCTGTGGCTTTGATGATTTGGAAGCCATAGGTAAAATCTGCAAAAATTTCCATTTGTGGCTTCACGTTGACGCTAACTACGCAGGTATATAAACAATTATTTCGTCAATTATAGATTATTTCGGAAAATCTATTACTCGCGTTTACAGGTGGTACTTTTGTATGCCCTGAATACCGATACCTCATGAAAGGAGTGGAATATGCTGACTCCTTCAATTGTGATCCTCACAAGTTGCTTCTTACTAATTACGATTGCTCAGCCCTGTGGTGAGCCTTTTGATAAATTGTTTTGGGGATTTTTATTTTTTCTTATACTTATATATATATATATATATTATGTCTGATGTAGGGTTCAGAACACTGACCATCTCATCGACGCCTTCAATGTCGAAAGAGTTTATTTAACTCATGATAACCAGAAGCTAACACGAGATTACAGAGTAAGTGCATACACTTTCGCAAAATTTACCGCTGGAATTAACTATAGATTATAAATATAGCTTACATTGCGGTTTCATTAAAATTTGAAGCTATTTCACGAATAAAGCTTGAACTTTTATGAAAGAAGAGAGAATAATAATCGTGAATAGAGGGATAATTTTTTGATTAATTATTATATGACTGCACGAATGATTTGTATAAGATTTCGCTCAATTAAAAATTTTTTTTTCAGCATTGGCAAGTCGCCCTGGGCCGGAAATTTAGGGCTGTGAAATTGTGGTTTGTCATGCGGTTGTACGGAGTTCAGGGTCTACAACAGCACATCCGTCGTTTAATAGATTTAGCCGAGAAGTTTGAAAATGCCTTATCAACTGACGACCGCTTTGAAATCGTCACGACGTTTTGCCTGGGATTCGTTTCTTTCACCATTTGGGTAATTGCAAACTTGCCACACTCACATCAATGAAATTCAATCTTCCCATCATTCTAACGGACTGTCCGATTTTTCAGGGTAATGATGCATTCACGCGAGAACTCTTCCAGAGATTAACGGACAGGAAGAAAATTTACGTTTCTTCTGCACTTCATCGTGAACGGTTAATGATTCGTTTTGTATGTACTGCACATACCACCGCCGAGGATATTGAATTTGCATGGAACGAGATAAAAGGACAGTGTGATGAAATTCATGCATCCCCTTGCAACGTCCAAGAAGAATCTGATTAAAATATTGATTGATCCAAATCAATTGATTCAAATAGAATATAAGATATATGAAATATCCACCTCATCTCAAAATGCATTAGCTTGTAACTCTGTTATAATTCTCCGATTTTTTGGAGTTGTAATGGAAATCTGGTGAATAAAGAAACTGGTAAAAATGACATTAAAAAATTGTTTCCTCCACCCGCTGTGTCATATGTCCATTCGCCCAGATAGACACATACGTGAATTATTAAAAAAAATATAATATATTATACGATAAAACGGCAAAACGGTTTTTTCAAGCTCGCGAAATACTTTTTTTGTTATGGACTGCTTCCTTGTTAGGATTAGCCCACAGAATAATTGTTTCTCGGCAAAGAATTAATGATGAATCATAAATTTTTTTATGATAGGTGTATTAGATAAAATTAAAGAGAATAGTTCGCTGATCGTGGAAAAACCACTCATTCATTTGAAGACTAACCAGAAAAATTATGGCCGGAAAATATGGATAATATTTAAACTCCCTCGATCATATTAGTGTTATAATTACAGTCATCCATTACGCAAGTGATGCATAATGATCGACTATTGTATAACTGAATACATAGATTGAATAACCGATTGTCGAGAGAATGATGGAGTTAATAATCAGCGCTTCGACACGGGCTGCAGCCGTTTGACAGCCGTAATAAAAAATGAATAATTCTCGAAAAATTTGGGCTCGTCCGGGATTTGAACCCGGGACCTCTCGCACCCTAAGCGAGAATCATACCCCTAGACCAACGAGCCGCTCTTTAATTTGCCTGCTAGACAGGTGAGCGGCAGAAATCGGCAAGAAAAAAAATTGAGGAGGCGCAAGATCTGTGAAATTCATCTGCACTTAAACAGACCCTTTAAGAAAATTTTCAAAAATAATTTTTTAATGCCATGATTTGGCGAAGAATTCATTCAGCCTTCTATTGGCAATGAGCGATTCCATTGACCCCAACGATGGGCAGAAAAAAAATCATGTCCTCGAATTACGTAAGGAAATTGATCCTCCCATCCATAAGGCTGAGATAAATTGCTGCTTCTTATGATAACTAGCGATCAATTATCAACGATTTCGTAGTAAAATCCAGTGATTCGTAAACTCAATGTCAGGGTCAGCCTCTTACAAGAAGATCGGTATTCCGTTCTCCTAGGTACCAGATAATACGAGTTATGTAATATCGGGGAAGTAACGGCCGCGTTAGATTTTCCATAAGCCAATCAATGGATACTCTGCGGTTATCCCTACAGACAATACGCTCCAATGAACATCGACATGCAGAAAAAAAAAATTGTATACAAAAGGTGGTGGTTGCTGAGAGTAACAATTTCCTTAGAACAGCCTCAGAACGGAAAATAGCTCATGCATGTAGAAAAACTCATACACCCCATCTACACAGAAGATATATAAAAGACACTGAGTCCTATCTTGGAGCAGTCTCTCACGAGAGTTCATGATTAACGAACTTTTCAATTATTTCGGTTATTAATAATTCATGAGATTGGTTTTTCTTTCATACCTCCACGTTGCACGACTCATTTTCACGACTCAGTTTCGATTCGAAGTGTAAGAACTTTCTTTGAACTTGGTAAATATTATAATCTGTATTTTAACGTGTTATTATATTGTAGTTATACTCTAAGCTGCGAAGTGGGTATGAAATTTTTACTTTCTCAAATTTCTCTATTAGAAAATAAATAAATACCCATTAGAAGTAAAATTGATAGATTTTTTATATGGTCATCGCGGAATTCAAAGTGCATTCAACTGACCCAACCGTGATTGATATTTTAGTGACCTTGACTCGGAAATGGAAATTTACCCAGAAATGACTTCATCTCAAAGACAGATTTATCGCAATATTTTCAAACGTAACTTCAGATGTAGTTAACTCATGTCCATTTTCAGTAATTATAGAGAAAGTCAGGTGAAAGTTTGGAATGCTGTATGAGGTATAAATTCGTCACCTTCATCTTCTGTGGTCCATTCCACAGTGAATCTTCGATAAATCGCGTTATAACGAAATGAAAATCGCGCGAATTTCACTGTTGTATTAATAACTAATAGTATACATTTCCTACTGTGTAATCAGATGACATATTTCGAGGGTATATTGTGACGATTCACCAGTTTTTATGTGCAAAGTGTACAACGAAAATTGAAAAACAAAACAAATCTTTGTAGGCTGCCAAAGTGTTAACCCGGAATCATGGAGAACAAAGATTTTCTCGAGTTCGGGAAGGCGACCCTCGATTTTATTGTTAACTATAATGATACTCTGAGGGAGAGAGATGTTCTACCGAGTGTGGAGCCTGGGTATTTGAGCGAATTGGTTCCCGCCGAAGCTCCGGAGAAGCCAGAATCTTGGCAGGAAGTTTTGAGTGATGTAGAACGGGTTATTTTACCAGGAGTGAGTGCATTCCTCAACTTACGGCGCAAGAACACTGAGAGAAAGGATTACGAAGACATACATTTTGTTAGACATTGGATCCCAATTTAATGGGATAAACAATGCCATTGTGATTAGTGAATTATTTCTGTCAATTAAATTAGTCAGTGTCTGATGAATTGTTTAATTGATTTTTAGGAAAGGCCAGAATTGGAATCGCCATTTAGTCACTTCCAGAATCTAATTGATAAGCATTATATTTTTTTCATAATGACAAATATCAAAAATACCAAAGTGTCGTTATTTCTGGTAAATTTCACTAGGAGCTCCGGTTGAATAATAATTCTATGAAATTCGGTAAACTCTTCTCTCAGTGAACATGTGCGGATAAATTGTAAAAGTAGAACGAATGGTTTCATGTATGCATCGTAAATAGGTAACACATTGGAATTCGCCACACTTCCATGCCTACTATCCAACTGCCAATTCATACCCAGCAGTACTGGGTGAGTTGATGAGTGCCGGAATAACAACTCTTGGTTTTTCTTGGATATCATCACCTGCTTGTACTGAATTGGAAGTCGTAACTATGAACTGGCTAGGAAAAATGATGGGATTGCCAAAAGAATTTTTGAACTGCAGTGAAGGACCTGGTGGTGGAGTTCTACAGGTATTCATTATAATAATATCCCGATATAAAAAGGAGAAAGGAAATCGATCTCGAAGTATATCGAAATATCTCGAACTACCGGAAGGGTAAGGCCCGTAAATTCTCTTCTAAATCTCAAACATATTAAATAAATGCGCGTGCGGAACACTTGTGGACGATCTCGTTGACAGAAATAGAAAGTCGAGACGATCGTTAATACGAGAACCATCACTATCACGAAGTGGTACTCATTGCACAGTATGTGGCTGTTTGAAGGCCGGACAAAAAGAATCCATAAAAAAATGTAAAATAGCAAGTCAATTTTAGAACGCGGAAATATTTCGATAAGACCTATTAAAAAAATAAAAAAGAGGGCTCGTCCGGGATTTGAACCCGGGACCTCTCGCACCCTAAGCGAGAATCATACCCCTAGACCAACGAGCCAACGGTACAGAACAGAAAAAAACTTGAGACTTAAAACTCGCAGACATGCACTGAGAAAATAAAATTCTTTTTTGGAGTATATTGTCTAATTTCAAAAAAATATATTTGCCATTAACATTTCTTATGGAAGTACTCATATTGATTTACTGGCGGTAATTAAATATATTTGGCCGAAGAATAATTTTTTCTCAGTGTGGGCAACGTATGGAACTCATCCGAAAATCCTCTAAAAATGATAATTTTCAGGGTTCTGCTAGTGAGGCTACTCTAGTCGGCCTATTGGCAGCGAAAGAGCGCATGGTCAGACATATGAAAAGTCAAGATCCAGATCTAGATGGTCCCCTCTTAAAAACCAAATTCGTGGCATATACCTCCGGTAACTTAATGAAACCAAATTCTATTGTCATCTCAATATTCATTTTCATTGTTCACCACTTACCTTCCACTCTCCTATTCTCTCTAGACCAATCGAATTCCTCTGTGGAAAAGGCGGGACTCCTAGGATCAATGCCCATGAGATTGCTACCAGTTGACGAGAACTGCTGTCTTCGTGGTAAAACACTTTTAGAAGCGATGGAGAGGGATAGAAAAGCTGGTCTGATCCCTTGTTATGTGGTGGCAACCCTTGGCACTACGGGGACATGTGCCTTCGATAATTTGAACGAGATCGGACCAATCTGCAAAGAAAATAATGTATGGCTTCATATAGACGCTGCTTATGCGGGTATGTTGACTGCAGAATATCATGATTATAGGCAGTATTGCCTGACTGATTTGTAATCATTGAAGGTGCTGCTTTCGTATGCCCCGAGTACCAACATTTATTGGCTGGAGTGGAATATGCTGATTCTTTCAATTTCAATCCACACAAGTGGCTTCTTACTAACTTTGATTGCTCAGCCATGTGGTGAGTTTTCGATTATGAGCCAGAATTTAGAATTATCATGCGCTGTAACATGCGATGTAACGGTTCAAAAAACGAAAACAATTTCCCACTTGATCCTAACAGTTTGTACTTTCTGTTCTGATTTAGGGTGAAAGACGCTGGACAACTCATTAATGCCTTCAACGTTGACAGAATTTATTTGGCACATGACAAGCAAGGACTAGCACCTGATTACAGAGTAAGTTCCGGGATTAAAGAAATTTACATGAAATTCATGGATTACGATTTGAATCGAAGTTAATTGTTGATATGAAATGATGATGAAGATCAGCAACTGCAGTGAGGGATTTAATGTTCGAGTGAAGACTTTTGAGATAATGAACCTGCAAATTAATCCAATGAGGAGGTGTACGATTTTAGGTGATCTATATTATTTATCGTCAATGATTTTTTCTAGCATTGGCAAATTCCTCTTGGTCGTCGATTCAGATCTTTAAAATTGTGGTTTGTGATGCGATTATACGGAGTCGAGGGACTGCAAAAACACATTCGCCACTCAATAGAAATGGCGAAGAGATTTGAATCACACGTTCTATCAGACGAGCGATTCGAACTTGTAACCCAAAGATCTATGGGACTCATCTGCTTCAGAATGAAGGTAACTGACTTGAAAAAGTCGCAGCAATGAAATTCAATTTGTTACTCATAATTCTGATGAAATGTGTAAATGTTTCAGGGTGACAATTCACTGACTCGCCAACTTCTTGATCGATTAATGGCGAGAAAGCACATATACCTGATTGCTGCGACTTGTCGGGAGAAATTAATAATCCGTTTTGCAGTATGCACTCATCTTACTAAAGCTGAGGACATTGACTTTGCATGGAACGAGATAAGAGGACAAGGAGATGAAATACTATCAGCGAAATTGCAACAGGAGCAAATTCAATTGAAGAGGGAGGAGGAAAATTTGAATCACGAATTTTCTGGTAAAGAGGGCGGAATCGCAGCTCGATTGAAGAATATGAAAATTCAAGATGCAAAACAATCACAGAAAATCACATAATAACTGGTGAATATTATTATCATTATGAATGTTTGAGTGGTTATCGGAAATCGTCGGATGCAATCAGCGGGAAACTTTCTTTCAACTGTTTAATAATAATTATTATGCCCTTGTGCAAAGAGTGATATTGTCGTAGGAATTAAGGATTAAGTATTAAACGTAAAGAACAAAAAAAGTTGAATAAATGAGTTATTAATTGGAAAACGGATTCACTTTTTTATCATTTTTTACTCACCAGAATATTCCCCCTTCGCCCTTCCGAAAACACTAGATGAAACTTTGATCTCACTATGTTTAAATAAAACGAACATTCTGTTAATAATCACGAGAATCACTGTATTATCCGAAAAGAAACTAATGAAACGAATTTATTGTCACAGATATATTTATTTCCGGCTTTTCTAAGACGAATTTGCGTACTTGCCCGACCGTACGTTCCGCAATACATCTCGATCCGCCATCTTGTGATCAATTGAGCAACTCGAGTCGAAAATTTGTCGTTCTGCGTTACCCTCCACACAGGCGGGAAAATTCGAATCCCCTCTCACTGAACAGTCGAATGTCACTACAAACTGTCATTTGTGAAATTTTGATATGACTTTTCATCATTTACTTTTGTTTATCACAAAATAAACAACAAATTCCGTGGGAAAGTCGTAATTTCCATTGGTTGTACATGAATAATTAAAAATTACGAGTCTAATGTGAAATATACTGGATGAAATGCTCCTAGCGCGAATCCGGCTTCGGCTCTGGAGACCACACAAATCTATCACGAGGTGATGCAGATAAAATTTCGTTTTGATTTTAATTTTTTTCAAGGGCAGAATATTGATCGCGGACTACTAAACAAAACGATAAAATTCTCTCGTCAGGTTTTTATCAAAAGAGAAAGGATCAGAAGAGGTGAAGAAGACCACCCCATCATGTCCTCAAGGTGTGAAATTAGAATCATGTCAGTTGGACCCCTGCATGCTAGATCCATGCAAACCAGAACCAACGGTGGTAATCATCGGAGCTGGAATGGCAGGTCTATCCGCAGCTCATCGATTGGTTCAATGTGGACTACAGAATTTCACCATTCTAGAGGCTACAGACAGGTTTAATTCTAAATCCATCAAATTGATATATCAAATATTTTTTTAAATATTTGTAGAATAAAGGGGCGGAGATAAACGCGTAGTCTAAATTGTACAATGATGAATGCATAAAAAGGTTCTGTGGATAATTAATTATTTTGCAAACAGACCAGGGGGACGAATCCACTCCTGCTGGCTTGGGGACGTCGTAGCCGAGATGGGAGCGGCTTGGATCGAGGGTGGTTGTGTAGCAAATCCTGTCTTCACCCTGGCAGCCCAAGAGGGTCTCCTTAAACACCCGGTATTTCGACCAGATCCCACGAAGAATCTCTTCTGCACCAGCGATGGACGAGCGATTGATCTTCCCGTTAGTATCACTGCTTATCATACTTTCAAACAAATCGAACAACAAGCAGCCGCCCTCTTCTCCCTCGGTTGTGGACGGGCTCATGGGACACTTCTGAATTTTATTGGTGTCAGGATCCAACAGGAGTTGCACAATTTTCCAGAGGAGCAAAGGTAGGAATAATTGAGGGATTTTTATCGAATTCGATAATTAATTCCCCAAATTTCTCGCGCATTCCCAATTTTTTATAATTCCAATCGAAACGAAATGGTGAAAAATGGGTTCTCCAGAATTCAAGCTCGTCCTCTCTACTCGTGAGATCGACAATTAACCATCAAGAAATTCTGTTCTCCACTCCTCGGAATTCATAAATAATCGTGTCAGCAATTAGCTTAATAGCAGTTCTAAAATTCAAATGACAGGTACGATGCAGCTCGAGTTATGTATGGGATGACAAATCTAGTGAGGTGTCGATGTGGCGATGATTTATCAATGGTATCTGCCGATCAATTCGGGAGTTATATTGAAATTCCTGGAGGTAATGTGAGGGTTCCCCTTGGATACGTCGGCGTTTTGGCTCCACTCCTGAGGGATCTTCCGAGCTGCTCCTTGAGGTATCATCTCTCAATACATTTATAATTATATAAACTAGCAACAATGACACGTGCCATATTCTCAGGTACTGCAAACCTGTGAGTTGCATCAGGTGGGGAGCAGTGAGTGACGCCTGTCCTCGTGCCGTCGTTAAATGCTGCGATGGCGAAGAATTTCTAGCGGATTATGTCATAGTTACTGTGCCACTTGGAGTCTTAAAGAATCAACACGACAAACTCTTCTGTCCGGCACTGCCTGCAGACAAAGTCGAAGCTATTTGCAAACTCGGTTATGGATATGTTAATAAAATCTTTCTGGAATATGCGAGGCCATTTTGGGTGTGGAGAGAAGGGAACATAAACCTTGCATGGTCAGCTGATGAACTTTCAGACAGATGCGATTGGGTAAAAGGTGCATAAATCTTAAATTATTCCCATTTATACTGACAAAAAAATCTGCCACGTCAATAAACGGGAGACAACAAATATTTTTATTAATCATTTACGAATCGATATTTAGGTGTTGCACACATCGAAGAACTCCCCGGATCTCAACATGTTCTTTGCGCTTTGGTGAGTGGTCGTGAAGCTGCTGAAATGGAGCTCTGCTCCGACGAAGAAGTGGTGGAATCAATCACCAGAACACTCAGGCAATTTACTGGGGATCCGACCCTTCCTTATCCATCTAATATCCTAAGGAGTAAATGGTGCATGGATCCGCACTTTGCTGGAGCTTACAGCTACATGGCGATGGACAGTACAGTGGGACATCAGTGCGATCTCTCTAATCCTCTCCCTGGTAATCAATGAATAACGATTCGCCTCGTTACAATAATTCAAGTATCATGAACGTAAAAAAATATATTATTCTGTTATATTCAGGCTCCTGTGAACCAATTGCTCCGATATTATTATTTGCGGGTGAAGCAACAATTCCAGGACACTACAGTACAGTCCACGGGGCTAGATTAAGTGGAATCAGAGAAGCAGAAAGGATAATTCAATTAACGAAACGCTTCGGTGGGCCACCGAAAACTCCCCCTGACGATAAGTGCAAGCCTGCATGTCCCTGATTTCCGTTGAAAATTCACTCTGATAAAATCCCTGAATCTGTACAAAATACAACAGCATTTACACATAAGAACTAGTCTTTTATTATTGCACTTCAACAATCATCGATAGGAATTGTCGATGAGAACAGTTATCACGTGGTTATTGAATTTACATCGAATTAAACGGATGGCAACATAATACATTGTTCCAGTACGTAATTACAACAGGTACACTCTGCAATATTAACATTTTCAAATACTTTCCCGTTGGTCCCATTAAGTAAATCATTGTTCCACTGTTTACTAACATACTATCGCTCCGAGGCTTATCCTGAGCTGTTGGACGCAAGCTAAATTTATTTATTGTCCTAACTGCAGCGATTTTTTAAATGTATGGGGACAACTACTTAACGATGAGGCGGTATTTCAGAAAAGTGGTGAAACATGGACACTACTAGCAGAGAAAAATAAAAAATACTCTTGAAATACTGTAGGCTCCCGTTATAGTCACGCGTGTGGGGCTGTAGGGGAAGTGCATTGAAAATTTTGGAACTGAATTTTTTCATAGCAGAAAATGTCAAGTTTTCAAACAATTTTCATTATAAGTTATTTTTCTGTAAAAGAAAGACATATTTATTATACTGCATTATAAATATTTCATAAAAATCAGTGGAATTAATTTAATAATGATGAGTTATTCTGTTCCTAAATTTCATATTCATAAGTAAATGTCAATGAAATTTCCTTGACGTTCTCAAAAAAATCGAAACTGAAGTTGAGGCGTCCTGTCTTACCACTTCTCCACTTTCTCTACTGACGGTCGAAATGAAATAAATACCAACGATTTTATTAATATATACATAGAAAAACTCAATCTCTAGTAATGTATTTACAGTATAGAGGAAAATGTGGGATAGGTCCGTTCCAGTCGCAGACTAGCAGAGGAAAAAATCTGAGCCCAAGGTAAATTTGATTGCGGAATAAATCTCACATATGAGTGATTAAAAACTATTGCGGAACGAGGGCTCAGCGGGAGGAGAACATTGAGACACTTGTAACATTGAGACAACTGTCGGAATACCTATAAACCAGGAGAACCGATCAGTGAAAGTTACACAAGGTTGGTGTCAACGAGAAGGTTCAAGCTTGTTTCTTCGACATTGATTAGGACTGATTGCATGTGGCTGGTGCCAGTGCACGACAGCCACGTGTTATGTTCGCCCGCCATCACTTGGAGACCGATTGCTCCTCGAGGACCTCGTCAGCGCGAAGTTTTATCTCTTTCCAGGAATTCTCAATGTCTTTTTTCTCGCTAAAACGCGAGCATATGGCTAAGCGGAGGAAGTACGTGTCATTTATTTTCGAGGGAACCAAGTGGATGAAACCAGCACCATTAATCCTCTTCAGAAGTGTTTCGTTCACATCATTTGACGCCTGACAAACAAAAAATTATAAATTTGTTGTAGAATTCATTATTCAATTAATTTTTTACAGGTAACAGCAACTATTTTTCTGGGTTTTCCGCATTTTTCATTTTATGTTATTTCTTCTTCTGAATAAAATGAAATTATTAAAACGAAAACTTGAAAGTGAAATTAAATGGGAATTTATATTCGACCGGGGAATGAATTGCCACAGGGTATGAACAGGATGAAAGTTTTAAATTGACGAATATGTTTACAAACTTTTCGTGATCACTCTTAATCTGATCAAGGCCGCTGTTTAGAAGTGAATGGAAATGCTGAGTTTGATATTTACCTTGAGTCTGAAGCAAACCAGTCCGAGAACAACTTCAGCGACTATTTCAAATCGTGAATCAGTGAGGACGAGTTGCTCAAATTCCTTTGCTAGGGCAACGTGACCACGGATGAACTTTTGGAGATTTTCCACTCCGTAAATTCGGAGGACGAACCACAGTTTTAGGGCACGGAAACGTCGGCCCAAAGGAATTTGCCAATGCTGAAAAATAACTTCATCATTATGATAAAATTCATAATTAAATTTCCATCTAATACGGGAATTATGGTCCAAAGGGGAATATTTTATTGACCATTCAATGCGTTCAGTAATAATTAATATTGATATTATTATTTTTTTGAGTTCGTATTTGCGTGAGGGAACACTCGCCTTTTTGATTATCAAATAATTCTTCAAACAAGCAGTAATAGAAAATAATCGCCTTTATCCGAAATTCGGAATATTACGTTGAAAGACTAAATTCTTTCAAGTCAATGATAATTTAGTAAAAATTTTTGTTCTCTGTGACCGTACCCTGTAATCTGGCGCTGAACCCTGCATATCATGCTTCAAATATAACGGATCTACATTGAATGCATTTATTACATAAGTTGGATCCTTCAACCACATAGTCGAGCAATCAAAGTTCACTAACATCCATTTGTGTGGGTTGAAATTGAAGGAATCAGCCCTCTCAATTCCCTTCATTAGGTAACGGAATTCCGGACAGATAAATGCAGATCCTAAAATGAAGAGTTTCATGCTCAATCCACAAATTTTAAATCAAATGAAAATATAAATATAAATATAAATGGAAAAATGAATACTAATGAATACTAATGAATATTAAAAATAATAAATCAAGAATTTGTACAGATCGTTAAAACTATCGTCAAGATGAAGTGCAATTAATGTTTTTTAGCCTAAATCAATTAATTATGTATAAATTAATGACATGATAAAAATGGAGAAAAAGGGGAATACCGGCATAAGCTGCATCAACATGCAGCCAGATTTCTTCCTTATTGCACACTGGCCCAATTTCGTCCAATCGATCGAAAGCGCAGGAGCAAGTAGTTCCCAATGTGGCAACTGCATAGAAGGGAATGAGGCCCTTCTCTTTGTCCTGTCGAATTACTTCGGCGAGGCTATCACCCCTCATTTTGTACTTTGCGTCTACGTCAACCAATTTAAACTGAACACCTCCAAGGAGCCCAGCACGCTCTACGGAACTATGAGCCTGATCTACAACAAAATCAATTCTACTTATCCAGTTTTTCCTTTAATTTCTACAGAATATCTGCCAATTTGACGAAATTTGTCTTTCAAAATTTTTTTTCTACACAATTTTTTTTATCGGCGAAAAATAATTCCATAGAAAAATTATTGCATCAACTTTCACAATTTTTTATAACAGGATAAAAATCGTTAGTCCTCTGAATTTGTCAATTTGGAAGTCTCCAAACGTGCCAGCAACTTTATGTGGGGTGGTAGGGTCAGGTGAGGGGTGACAGAGTTGGAAATAACTCGAGTGGTTATTACGCGTCGCCATAGCGACAAAGTGCTGGCTGATGAAGTGCTCCAACGCCCTAAAACTCCACTCTATTCCCATTCATCTTGTTGCATTGAAAGTATAATAGAAATTTTTCCACTGGAATGAGAATAAGTCGGACTTACAGGAGGCATAAGCGACTAGTTTCCCCGTAATCTCTGTATCGCTCCACTCGGGATGCTCCTCCTTGACTTGGCGAATTTTCTTGGCTTTTGCTCCTAGGAGAGCAACCAGAGTTGCCTCACTAGCTGTACCCTGGATTACACCTCCCCCTTTACCCCCAGAGCAGGCCATAAATTCTTTAGGAAGGTCCAGCATCTTTCCCAGCCAGTCCAACATCACTACTTCCAATTCTGTACATGCCGGACTCGCAATCTGGGGTGAAAATTCAGTGTTTATCGTGCGTCCAGAGTGCTTTCGAAATAATTTGCTTACCCAGGTGAAACCTATGCAGGCGATAGCACCGCTGAGCATATCGGCGACGATTGCCGGGTACGACTGGGCTGTTGGGAAATAGGCGTGAAATCTGGGACTGTGCCAGTGTGTTACCTGTAAATTTTTTCATATCACACAGTGAGGAAACATTTCAGTATACGTGAAATTGTTTTTTCGAATAATCTGATCTCTCATTTTAAGACTCTTTATTTCTGACAGAAGATTCAGTTTTATCAAACGTACATACATTTAAGACAAGTACTGAGTCTTTCAATATAAAAATGTCCCACATAAGTCGTTCCCATGAAATCCAATAATTAAACTTATGATCTTCTGTATTCCCTGAAAAAATTCTAAATTCTAACTTTTAAATTCTCCATGATTAAAAAATTCCAGATTTCATGGAATTATCCGCGGAGGTTAAAAATTGCAAATCCATTTCATTTTCTCTTATTAAAACGGATTAAATGAGAGTCAATGCAGAATTACTAATCAATAGCTTGAAGCCTTGATTTTTCATTATATTAATGCATTTACCCCTGGCATGATAACTCTCTCAATATCTCCCATGATATCTTCCCATCTTTCTGGTGTCTGTGGTGCCTCGGATGGCAACAGGGGCTTGATATATCCGGGCTCAACAGTCGGCAAAACGCGCCTACGAGAAACAGAAAAAAAAAATTACTAGGACATTCGCTACAAGGTTGACACATTCATACAACTTTCCAAGGATGAAATAAGAAAAAACCTTCACCCACTCCATTGTTAATAACAACTGTCTAAATACGGCCATTACTTCTGATTTACAATCGAGAATAATCAGTTTCCTTGATCTGGTTATTTTTACCCGCAGGATATTGATTGTACAATCGAAGATTAATTAAAAAATCAGAACGGCCTATTAATTGATTATAGAATAATGCTGATTACTCGTGATTACCTGTCTCGAATGTTTTCCAGATAATTGGCGATGAAATCCGCCATTTCTTTAGCGAAATCCTTGAAACTTTCAGGATCCATTGCGGAAGTCTTCTACGAACAGACAGAATTGTAGTTTCATTCGTAATTATAATTCAGAGTGACATGATGTTATTATGATTGAAGTATCCTGCTATTGTTACTTGTGATATGGCACTGAGATCAATACCCCTCGTCAATTTACTGACGCTATTTACCACATACTTATACCATACATACGAATTTTATTTGAATCCGGATGAAATGTAAATAACGAAAATGTCCGGTACATTGAAAATTGAAAATCCAGAATTTGTCAATCATATAATAATAGTCGTCATATTATAAAATATTATATGATATAATTATTAAACTATAATATAGTTGGAAATGTACGGCAAGAGGAATTTTTTTTCTGAGTGAAATTCAATCCGTTATAAATTCCGAAATAATTTTATGCTTTGGAAATTCAAACGTATGATTTTCGAATTTCGCTCTTCGCTATTAAATAATAGATCCACTATGAGATATTAGATGCACCTCAACATTAAAATAGCAAGGTAAAGATCCAGAAGAGGGGGAAACTGCGGTGACAGAAAATAATTACACGTCAGTTGGAAAGTGAACAGTGGCCATGACTCATATCCACGTTGTCTTTCACATGTGCATTTGAAAGATTTACGAGAGAGTCAATGACTTTCAGCGGGAATCCCCTTCAGTGACGTCAAAGTCATTCCTGCAGCATTGATTCTATTTTTTTTTTATTTATCATGGGCTTATTGTGCGTCACGGAAAACCCAACGTCCGGAAAACCGGAATTTTTATTGCCTGAGGCCTCTTCCCTGAATTTGAATGAGAGGAAAAATTCCGTCGCTAATCTCCATTTTTTTGCTGAATCATTATCTCGCTCACTGATGATGATCTCTAATGAACTCTGGTAATCATGCCGGGACACTGGCACGGTTTTTTCCTAGTTTGCCAAATCGCTCGATGAAATTTTTTCGAAGAAAATTCTAATTCTTAATGTTGAGAGTTTATCTGAGTGGTCAGGGAATTCGATCGGTCCCTGAATTACTACATTTTCAGGTCTAGCGGTTGCTCCACACACGATTACTTCATCCTGCAGGTGACATTTAATAACGAAACTATGTTTTTTAATCGATGAAATTACGAAGCATAACATTTGAGATTTATTTTCAGCCAAAGGAATGAAATATGCATATTTGTAAAATTCTCACTCCCAACGAATATTGAAATATCCATTGTTTAAAAAAAAATTTTTTTTTGCAACGCAGAACCTCTTAATTCGCTGTATTGTCAATTAATTTATAATATATTCATTTATTTTTTGGATGAAGTAATTATTTCTCCCATTGAAATTCATCCTAGAAGTGACTTTTATTGTCGATTTATTGAATATAATGATATAGTTATGGATTACATACATTTGATTATTTAATTGCGTACTGGAAAATGCACGGATTCATTATTAAATATATTTTCAACTGCTTCTTGAAGTACAGGAGATAAACCTCTCCCGTTGCCATATATTTTTGAGATAAAATAATTACCTCCCCCACCGGCTTATTCTTCGGTGTTAATTCGACTTGAGTGCAATTGAAAACCGGAGAGAATTGGTTGATTGATCAAATCGGAACGATTTACGCCATACAACTGTCAATAGCTGAATTGAATGATTGGGTGTGGAAACTTTCGATTGAGGCTCAAGTGCAGCACTCCTAAGCGATTCTACAAGATTGCGATTCCTTGACTCCACTCACCGACTTTTTCAACAGCAAAACCGATAAAGAGCTATTTACAAGTTCAAAAATATCGTCATGCGTTTCGACAAGAATTATTGAGATGAATTAATGATTGCAAAACTCCATTGGTAAGAGACAAGCCAAAAACTGACTAGTACTTTCCGAATATTTCTCAACATAACAAAATTATAACAAAACCCATAACATTTTTTTACAGAGAATGCCCTAAGGCTGTAATAAAATTTATGGAAGCGTGAGAGACATTTGCCATAGAATATGTAAACGCCGTATGTAATTATTGATTACTTTCATTTTTTCACGACGCGATATACACCTGGCGTGTAAATTACTGCATTATTATCAAATAATTGTTAACTTTGCCCATATCGGTCAGCCAATATTCCCCCCAATCTTAAAGTACTTCCTCAGTTACTTGTAGTTGTGAATAATTGTGCAAAATGTTAGAGAGACGTTATTTGAAATATCTATTGCTGGATAGGATGAAAAAAAATGATCAGAATGTCTAGAATTTCAAATTTATCAGATTAACTATCAAATTTCCATCGACGTACTCACGTTTGGAAGAGATTAACTCAACGAAGGCTGAACGATCTGCTAAATTCACTAGGGTATAGATTATTCCAAAAGACAATGTGTATTGATCACTTTCGATTTTTGACAAAAATACAATGAACGAATTTTCAAGATGTGATATGTGACTGGCGTGGTGGACGACGAGCCAGTGTCGCGAGGTGGTCGTACAGTCGGGGTTTATGTAGAGCCCCACTCTTCTGCTATCGGTTTATATACCCATCCACCGCTGGATATTCTAGCCAATGAAAATCTCGAGATTTACTCGTGTAAAGGGAAAGAGCTTCATGAAAAGCAAAAATCGCCCTTTTTTTCGTCCTGAAAAAAAATCTAACAACGAAAAACTGATCCAAGGGAAATTAACACATATGTTGTCAAACTTGTTTAGTCCTTTCCATTTTTTTACCAAATTAAAAAAAATGATAATTAAGCTCTAGAGTTGTTTTCCATAGCTGTGGATAATTCAGTGATTATTTTCGATAATAATCTCAAAAAATAAAAAGCAAAGTGCATTTTATAATTGCCGAAATGGATTAATCTCTTGATTCCTGCTTCACTCCCGTTTCTTTCGAAATTGATTTTATTTCCACATCTAATTTCCTCGGTTTAATTAAATTGTTTTTCCCTCGAAGCCTCAGTAAATGTGAAGTAAAAGGTACACTAAGACAAAAATTTATCGCTGGAAAACCGAATGATCTAGAGTGGAATCGAATGTGACGATTGCATTGGTCGAAATTATCTGAGAAAAAAATCATTAACACGAAGCATTACCAATTTGGTAATTTGGTTTCGTCATTCTGTTATGCGCCTATTCATTATTATTATTATTATATAATAAATTGAGTAGAGGAGATAGAACAAGGGCTGTCGCTTCGAATGACAAACATCAAGTGTCAGAGCTCAATACCAATCCTCCGAACTACTAGAATGCTCTTAACCCAATTAGTATAAAAACATCTCAATTTCGTTGAATTTTAAACATTGAACAAATTTGTTTGTCAATTATAAACATTTTACCTCTGGACAAATTTTTACTTCAAACATTTACGAATCCTCAGAAAAATCTGGAAAAAATGACGGTCAGATTTAAATCATGAAAAAATCAAATCATGAAATCATGATTCGAAATGTCATCTTGTGAAATTTTTTTGGAACGTACTGCCAGTTACTTCTTTATTACTGTGAGACTGAATGAAATATTAATATGATGTAATTATTTATTACGATATAGTGTAATGATTTATGAAGACAATTTCTCCTTTTGCATCATCCTCTGTTGATTCAGTGGTTCATTCATTGACGTCTCCGTTCACAAGTTGAGCGAATAATTCTGTTATCTGCTCGAGCAGTAAATTCATAGTTCACGACAAATTGAATTAACGGGCATTTTCCTGGGGCTCAAAAGAGCGGGGAAAATTGAAGGCTATTTTGTAGAAACTGCGTTTAAGAGTATTCAGAATTAAAACGGAGAATCAAATTTCTGCCACTCACCAGTCATGAGGGAAAATGTCTGGATATTTTTCTCCTTTATTCAGTCCTTGCCATTCATATTCTCTGGGCCAATCAAGAGCACTTCAACAAGTAAACTCAATTGAATAGTGAATCCAAGGATAGACTCTTGATTACACGTATCTAATGTATGGGATACTTAGGTGTCCTTGGAAAGTAGAAAGGTTGTTAAACGGATTAGTCATTGTTATTCATGTACTTTCATTTTTAATATCAAAGAGTCTTTTTAGGTGTATGACCTTAAATAGTGGAGCAACAAGGTGGAGAGCTATTGCACCTACAATATTTTTGAATAAATAAAATTACGTTTTCAGTAAAATACCTGGCGATAAAATACCTGAAGAATTGTTTAATCCTGTTATTTACTGTTTCGCAATTCACTCGGAAAATGATGCACTTATTTAAATTATTCCGCTAAATAAATAAAAATTAAATTAGTTAAAAATGGATTGAGATCACAAGTAAATAAGATAAATTGTAAAATGATACGGAAAAATGGTGCGAAGAAAAAAAATTACAGAATTATGCTTTGTTATCTCACAAAGCGTCCCGATTTACGGTTTTCATTTCCTGAAATGAATTCAAGACATCTCCTTTATTTCTGGAAGGAGAGGAAAAAGAAAAAGAAGCTTTGAAGTATCTAATGGCGGTGTCCCAAGAGGATGTGTGCGGGAGAATGGCATTGCCTTACTCGAGCCTTCATTTTCCACTGAAACATAAGGAGGATAAAGGGGTTGAAGGAGTGCACCGAGGGGTTTTCATTTAAAATCCCATGACGCTTTCCACCCACTCACTTTTTTTATTCTCCGGTTTTACGCCGATTGATAGAAAAAAGGAAGAAGTAAAAATTGTTCCGTTCTGCAGTGCTCTGTGCCGTCACCATGACAACGAGTTCTCGGTGGACAATCAGCGGAATCTTGCACTTTTCCCCCGATTGGGCCAACTCTCTCCATTCTTTCACGATTTTTCACATTCTTACTGTAAAAGTTGAATAGTTATAAACTTAAAGTTTGAGCTAAGGATCCTCTCCCTTTCAACCAAAATCCCCGGTTTTTTCAGTTTTCTGATAAATCAGAAAATAAATAAATCAGACGCGATAAAATATACTGCTTTCGCATTTCGTCATTAATTATTATTTTATCTCATCCAGGAAACGATTTATTGTTTCGAATTAATTTTTCCGGAATATTTAGTGAACATTTATCCCCGGGCAGAAGTGATATCAATAATCAGTAGAAATCAAAGGTTTCGGAATCGCAAAGCGTGGAACAATCTCTGAGGAAGGGAGAACTCACAGTCTGCAGATGACGCTGAGGTTAAAGGAGATAATAATCAAAGCACAATTTCCTGGAGTTCTATGGTCGAACGGTTCCTTTGTGTCTTCGTCTATTCAATTTTCGTTGCGAGTGAGAATCCATCAAAGCACCAAAATGTCCTCGACACTCATCCGCAGGTAGCACAGTATCAGGATTTCATCTCATTATCTTCCCCTAGTCAATGAGTAATCGAGTGAATGCGGGAGAGACATCAGTCTTCTTGGAGATCTTCCTGATATTTATTTATATTGTGGTCAGGTCCTCCTGGAGGATGTATGGGGTGTGTAAACGTATGCCACTTGTCGGCGTTTCTTTTTCCCCTGGAGAAAAACCCATCGTCAAATGCGATGCATTATGGATGATCGCGCTGGGGGTGTTCTTATGTGAGGGTTTCGCATTCGATTACACTGGAAAGTCTCTCGACAATAAAAGTTGAGATGGAGTCAGTGGATTTCGTGAATAAATATATCGAGAATTGCTTTTACGGATTTTTGAACGCAATTCAAATTTCTTGGATGATCAACGTGAATTTTTATTCTCGTGGAGGAATGTCAACACGATTTACAGATCTTCAAGTGAAGTGGCTGTTATTTTTATGATAATTGAAATATCCGTATTATGATTATTTAGAATATTGTTATTGCGAAAAATATTGTTTTCCTTCACTCAGAATTTGAGTTTGTAATTTAATGTTTCTTTAGAAAATATTTGCATGTTAAAGTAAAGTAATGTGAATTATTTTGAAAAATTCAATCGTTAATCCAAATAAAATAGCAGTGATTATCGCCGGAGATTTATAACAGGGATGAGGATGGGCGACGACAAGAGAAATCCATTATCACTCCGGCCCTGGTCCCCACATATATTTTCAACTTTCTGTAGCGAATTCCCTCGAGATCTAGCAATCACTCTTAAAGAAGAAAATTTAATTAACAATAATTTAAAAAAAAAAGAAAATTTCGGTATGAAGTTGCACCGTTGCTGTACTCGACTCCAGCTAACCCCGTTTAGTCAACATTTTTAGAATTTGAAAGGGAATAATTTGGAAATATCAGAGCGAAAATTCTTCTATGCTTCATTCAAAATACTCAAAATGGACGCAGTAAAAGACTGCATTGAGTGCATCAATACTCACTGGATAGCGATGGTCAGTGCTGGAATGTACGTGCACATCAGGCAAATTTGTATAATAGGATTGTGTTTCGAGAATGAAAATCTTCTGCCCTTTCAACCGACCTACACTTCTCTCTTTTTCACCTTCTCCGTGCTGTCATTACTCGCTGAGTTCAAACCCTGGCCCTCATCCCTCAAGGAACCACCAGTGCTATTGTTGTATATTTATGAAGTAAGCCAGAATTATTCTCACAAAGGCAGAATAATTGAAATTATCAGAATATTCATTCTTCCAGTCGTTTATCTTTCAAGACAATATCGTAGCGCATATTCTACATTCCAGTTCCCCGAAAATAAAGAATAATTACCGTAGCGATAATGATACGTGATAATTGAGTCGGTCATCGGCTGCATTCCACGGAAAATTTTTTTTTCCTAAATGATAACTGCATTTCATAATTATTCCAGATGCTTGTAGCAGCATTAGTGACAAATTTATCAACACGCGCGATTTGGATGCCCATAATAAGTTCACTCTGGTGTCTTACTCAAGAATCCAGTAAATTTGTGAGTAGAATTCCTCATTCCGCTCTCAATCAAACACTTCCATATTAATCTGTTTCTTTAATTAAATCACTTAATCAAATTATCACTATGATCATCATTATCATCAACTTTTTCTCTTTTGTACAAAGACTGCAATAATTTCCACTTCAGAAATTTACCACAATAGAATAAAGGAGAAATTTCCGTAATTCTAAATAATGTCTTTTTTTTAATGTCAAGAAAATGTTTGCCATTGTTTGTTGGACAGCTCTACTGGGTGAATTCTCAGGCGAGTCTGGACAGCGATTCACCTGTAACTCAAGCCGCTAATTACCTGACGCAAGAAGATGCAGTGACTCACATGAGCCTCTGCATGTCAATCTTATCATTTGTGTGGATGTTAGATGCCACTGAGTCCCTCGATGCTATCCTGGAGATCTGGGCCAAGTAGTAATACCTTAAACATTCTATTTCTCGTGGTAATCGTTTAGGCGTTGTACTCTCGGAGCATCCAGCCACAATATTTTACATTCAGAGTGGAGACTAAGGTATCCAGGCTGTTCAGAAAATGCCTGAGAAAACGGAGGATTGGATTTGAGGAGCCTGAAGTCACCGATTGGTTCTTCTATGATGCTGCACCACACTCTATATCGCAATCATCTACGGACTCATAAAATTTTCCCCTTCGATATTCAACAAAATCTCATGTAGACGCACGCCTGCATTTTTTAACATCGAGTATTAATATATGTAATTTTGCTAATTAAAAATTATAATGAAATTATTCCGCCTCTCGAGAGATAAATTTATTTTCAAATTATTATTATTTCGAGGAAAATAGATTGAAATTAATCAGGAGAAAATCGAGAAATGCAATACAATGTATTCACTTGAATTATTCCCTGAGAAATTCTCATCTTCTTTGTTTTTTAAAACTGCAGCAAAAAATGACATGAAATTTTCACCAAAATGGTTAGAAGATCGAGTAAATGACAAAAGTCGTCTGTACGATTTGGTCACTCGTTTTGTACTTATCAGGAATTTCTATTTTTCAACCGTTCTTATGCAATTGCGTGACTGATAATGAAGAAGAGGACGAGGGGAATTTCACTGGTCCCAAATTAACCTGTTCCATCTTTGTGATTGGGGTTTACATCATCACCAGTAATATTTCCCTCTTGCCATCGTCATACAGAAGGCCAGCAGCTTCTGTCCTCTGCGTTTACGAGGTACAACTCCATTTGTTATAAAAATTATTAAATGTACAAAGGATACACCAAATGACAATCCCTCCAGTTCTTCGCCACCTCTTTCATCTTGGATTTCGCCGGGACCTGCGTCTGGACTCCAATTAACGTGATGATAATGACAACACTTCCCAAAGCTATTTGCCACGTAACGTAATTCCATCGATCTTCCCACTCTCATGAAATTTATCCGCTCGCGAGACGAAGTGCAATTAATCATACCATTTCAGACTTTGAATCGACTGGATTATGATGACGCTGCTGAATGGATTGTCTCAAATCAGTTACCCATGATGACCATGAGTTTTGGCATGAGTATAGGGTCTTGTCTAGCTGCTATTCACACGACGAGAGCACTCGATTTAACGATGTACAAGTACGCCCTGTATTTTTTAAAACCATTACTTATTTAAGTTCAATTATCTTCAGACACAGTAATTTTACTTCAACTCAAGCACTAGAATTTGTTACAGTGATTTTTTTCAGTATTTATTCTGGAAATTTCGAATAGAGATTGAATGAAATAGCGTAAATGGTGCGGTTAATTTGTGCTCGAGTTAATCTTACAATTGAAATCCATGTGATCGATAAGAATATTAATACCGAATATTGTAGTGAATGCGGAGTGCTAGAATTTGCGGAATATGTGAAAAATAGATTCTGGCAACGAATCATCTCCGAATTTCGTACAACCAGCAATAAAAATGAGAGGCATCTCCACAAAAGTGCAATCCAGAGACATCAATCCTGTGTAAGAACTCCCAGCCGACGAAGACACCGGAGTAGAAGCCGAGGCAGGATTCCTTGAGTGTAATAATATTCTAAAACTCAAATACAAAAAACAGAAATAACAACAACTGAAAATACTATTTATCCTTTTTATTAAAAAGAAGGCATTTTTTATTTTCGTCCGAAACTGAAGTATAACGTACAAATTGTATAGATAATAGTGATAATAATTATAATTAATAATCAATTAATATCAATTCAATTTGATAATACGTATTTGTTGTTGGTTTTCCTCACCTTGATGATTATAATGTATAGATTGTTTATTTCATTATTATTTATATAATTGATAATTGTACTAATGAGATGTGTTCAGTGGCAGCATATATACATATTACAGTGTGACTCTTTATATCTCAACGACGGCTACGGTTAAAACATTTTCCATTTTATTTTCTTCATTCATCTGGGCTTTACAATATGTTCGAGGTACTACTTGAGCGTTTCACACTCGATTCAATGTCTTCACTCAATCCCAATAAAATTCGTCACTTAATCAAATAGTAATTTCAATAATATAATCAGGCAGTGAAGAGATCATGGATATGTAGTATTTTTATTTGCCAATAATTTCCCCAATTTTCAGTACCCAATAGTCCATGATCAGATGCAGCAAATACTCAACGATAAAAATAAGTGATTGAAAAAAAAATGAAGTGGAGAATTCAGTTACGCAAATCACTCCATGGGGTATGAAATAAATGATCAATTGATAAGGCTGATTAATAATTCAATCGTGTGCATGAAATATTTTTTATTAATAATTCCACATTCCACATGGACGTATGTGCTTCATTTATTTCCAATTGGCTTAGTTTATTTATATACAATTGTGAGTTTTAGGGAGAGGGAGACTCTTGATGACATTGAATCGAGTGAAAGACTTTCTTTGTGGGGGGGTCAACGGATGAGGGCGAGGGAGCGCGAGTAATCAATAATAAAATGTATAACGACTCGTTTAATGTACATACACAACAGTCATCTAACTATTATTATTCTTTTAGTTTAATGCCACTGCACACACGCACGTAGGCGTAACTCATATATAACGATAAAACCTTTTTTTTTTGTTTCTCTATGTATTTTTTAAATTATTTTATCTCTTTTTTTATATTTACTTTTTCCTCTTGTTTTTTTCTTCGTCACTAATGCCAGTCTGTGGAAATACTGTCTCGCTGCTTAAACACTACGGGTTTTTATTCAACTCTGGATTTCTGGTTCAGTTGGAAAATTAAAAGAAAAATGGGAAATAAAGTGTAAAACCAATTTAGCATTGAATAATGGTAAATGAATGGATATTAATGGGGAATTGGGGGAAGTGGGAGGTTTTTCGAAGATTTTTATGCCTTTGAACTATGGGAAGGTGTTCGTGGAAGAGATTCGTAGGATTTTTCTCAAGAAAACATTCAATCTTACACTAATTTACACGATAGACTAGGAAGAGGGCTTTTACCATTTTTTTTTTCACTTTATGGGGGACAGCGTATACGCGAAAAAAATTAATATCACAAATCGCAAAAAATTATAATTAAATACGATAATGAGTGTAGAATAATTATACAATAATCTGGATTTAACTGTAAATATTCCGACGAATTATATTACTTCTTTAGGTTCATGATTTTCTTCATTTTCAGCTTCGTCGAACGTATATTATAATTACATATCTTCGTACATCGATCACATTGTTTTTTTTTCGTATGTACCACTTATTAATGGATTAAATTTTAGTCACTGTGGACCGCCCTAGATCGGTAAATTGACTATGAATTATCCTGTGTAATTAATTTTCATGTTTATCCATGGGAATTTTAACTGATCAGTCCATTTCGAGAGATTTTTCGAGTGATTAAGCAGTTGCCATTTATCTCTGACGATCAGCTGGTAATGAATCACTCAATTAACCATTTGCAATGAAATTTTCATGGATCACTTTGTCATTCAACGATTTGATCGTTGAACCCCAACATTTGACGATATTATCGAGTTCATCAACCTTGTCGCTAGTTTAATCTCTAGAAATTCGTTCTTTCACATCGTTCTTCTCGGTTCAATAGCCTGATTTTGCGTTCAGTGGCTCCCGTTTGCATAATCTAATATAAATATATTCATATATTACGTAATAATATCAATAATCATACAATAATACTTCTAATAATGGCGATGGGAATTTTAACGATTTTTCGTTCTCATGTATTTCTTGTGACAAAGAAGTGGAAATGGTGAATTAATCGGTTACAATATTTTTTTAGCTTTTCATTTTTCTTCATATTCATCTATTTATGGCAAAACCACGATGAAACTGTGGCGAAGAAACTATAATACTCCATTACATGCCACGGCGCACATCTCAAACATCTAATGTTTTTTTGTTTTTTTTTCATATCAATAATAATTATTTAACTGTCTCAACAGTGAATATATAATAAATTCGTTTATCGTTCATGCGTTTTTTTTTCTTCTTTGAAAAGAAAAATTAAATAGTGGAGTTAAAAAATTGAGACCTTCATTCGTTAAACTATTACGTATAAAAAAGATGAACGCATTATCAGCGATTGTTCTTTGGTATGTGGTTTTGTTATTTTTCTTAAAAATATTTTAGTTTTTTTTTCATCGTTTTGTTAGTTTTTTCTTTCTTTCATTTAATTAAAAAACTTATCGGTAGAAAAAAACCGAACATTGAGTCGTTGACGAAAGACGTAGGACGATACGACATGCTTTGATGATTGATGAATGATGGCGAATGAATAAGAAAACAAATTATTTTTAAAAATTCTAACAATTATTATTTTATCGTTTTCTGAAGTTGAATAAATAAATAACCGAATTTATACAAAAGTCTTACATACTCTTGGGCATAGTACACGTATTTGCATGCATCTCAGGTTTTTTGGTGCAATTAATAAATATTTGTTGTTTTTATGAGCTTAAAATTATTACAAAGTTCGTGCTCTTCTGTTTTTTTTTGGGAGAAGACGATTTCTTTTTGTTTTTCCTCGTCTTACTGGGCATGACTAAAGTTTTTAACTTACATTCACTTACAATGTAGTTATCTTTTTCTATACTTTCTCGCAATCTTTCGATTTCTTCTTTCCACGAATTTATGATGCAATTTGCTTTTTCATCATTCGTTATTTATAGTTAATGAGACCTACGAGATGAATTGAATTTTTTTATTCTTCTTCCTCGCTCTCTTCAGTTGGGCCGTACATGTCTGCTAGTTTGTCGAACCTCGGCCCCCATGCACCCAGATACTCGTACTCGTGCTGCTCGTCGTCAGTACCTGAAATTGAATTCAATTGTGATGGTAATGAAGTGCTCGACAGTTGTCGGGATTGGTGTTAGTGAAGGAAAAAGGTTAGAGACTTTTACCCGATGCTAACGATGACAGCGAACCAGCAGTACTGCCACCCCCTTCGTATGCATAATTTCGGAGATCGTCAAAGGGTGGAGCATTTGGATCGCTGTCAGCACGCTTCTTATGATCCTCAATGAACATTCCGACATTCGGCTCTGGTCCCAGAGGATCTAAAAAACAGTCAAAACATAATTTAATTTTTAATCCATATTCCATAATTTCCAAATATTTTTTAAAGATTATTTCCCGGGGAAATCTTCGAACCTGGGGGCAGTAAATATATTTTTAGATATTTCTATTTCAGAATTTTGGAAAACCGTTGAATACTTACAGGCCACCTTACATGGTGCCATTTTGCCTCCCATCTCAGGAATGGGACCGCCGATAGGGATTTGCAAAGGTGTTATATCGAATGCCGTCATATCGTCCTCTCCACCGCCCTCATCATCGTAATTGATGATGTTTTCTCTCACATCATCATCCGGGCCTGGATACTTGATGTGAGATTCTCTTCTCCTATTATACACCACGAAAATCAGCACCAAAACTGCAAATCGAGTTAATAGAAATAGTATCAATCAATTTTCCAAGGACCCACCTGTTCTAAGTTCGGGGAATAAAAAAACGACCTGATGCATGCAAAATGAAAATCAGTGCCCTGGGTTTCCCAAATAATTTAATATCTTGAGACAAGGCGAGTGGAACAATAACGATGAATGGGATTGAATAATTAATTCTTACCGAGAATTATGAGCAAACACACTAAAATGGCAGCCAATGCTCCCATGCTGAGTTTCAACGTCTGTCCCTCCTGCACGAGCTCACAATTTTCACCCCAGAAACTTTCAGGGCAAATGCACTTGTACCGAAGATGTGGCTCTTGGTTTATGCACCTGCCACCATTCAAACATGGAAAATCAATGCACTCGTTCTTATCCATACAGCTTTTACCGTCGGGTGTCCGTATTCTTCCCTCCCCGCACCTGTTGAATGTCATCAATTATTCCCACCGACTCGCTTTTATTTCCCCCTATGTATTCCACCACTTGTTGTGAATTTTTATCCCTCTTGTTGTTAACTTACGTGCAGGCATGCTCGTTCCAAAGATCGATACACTCGAATGGATCTGGACAGAGTATATTGGCACATGGTTTATTGGATGGGCACATTCTCTCGAGATTCCTTGCCATTGTTGCCTGTCCCCACTGTGTACCATTCATTGCTGGTGGTAACGGCAAGTGTTTTCCCTCGAGACGGATATCGTCCAAACATCCTAGAATGTGTAATCAAACCCATGACAGATCATTCTGATGGATGATAAATTGGTATTATCTTTATTCCACATTTAACCACACGATTTCAATCTCAATTTTGTGAAAATAATCTACTCATTACAAACACATGAAATAATTTAGGATTTTCCCTCAAAACTTGAGGAATATTATGGGCGGATATTTTCATTCGTCTGAAGTAGAACCCAGAACGGTCGAATTGATTTGAGTTCAATTTGTGTTTTTCCTGTTCAAATAACTCTTGTGAATTGCTCGAAATGGAGAATTTCCTATTGGCTCAGTAATTTCGAATAAACCGGTAATGGTCCTGAAAAAAAACGGGGAATCCCTTTTCTACCCATTGCATTCCCGAGTCGTTACCTTTTTGGTAATCAGCATAAACTTCAAACGTTCTCACTCCAGTGTATTCAGCTTTGCCACCCGCGTAAACACCCTCCTGCTTATCGACTAGAAGCCATTGATGGCCTTCAAAGGAGAATGTCTCATTGAATCTCCTGCCTTCACCCCCATCCAATTCCAGTGTTGCTGCTGAACCGTATCTCGATACTCTAACGGTATGCCATTGACCATCATCAATGGCAATGGCACTCAGCCAAATATCCCTCTCCTCGGTTCTCAAACTGTTGAGATTGTACCTGAATTGTAGCGTACTTCCTTTGATCTGTAATACAAATAAATTCAATATTGCCGAACTATCTTCGGAACGAACAAGCATATTTATCGGTATCGAGAGCAATTTGTTGGGTAGAACATTTCACTACAGTCCATTATGGTAAACTTGTTGAGTGAAACACGATTTGTTACTTGGGGATTCCGACAGACACATGGTTTCGTAAAACTTTGACAGTTCTCTCCATTTATGGGGGAAGCATTATGCATTTCACATGAGAACTACTAGATGCGGGTATTTCTTTTATTTTATCGGTGAGTGCTACTGCCGATAGGGGTGAAAAATTCTTATTTTGTTTGAGTGTTTCTTCCATCTCCGATGATTTTACTGTTGCCTGTAAGAAATTAGTCTTACCTCTAAAATCGCATATTCCCTATTGTGCTGATCGCTGACTCTGAAGAGTTCACCCTGACTCTCGCGAGTCCTGAATCTCAGTTGGATCTGCGTGGAGTATTTGTCGGGTTCAAAGGATAACGCATATTTAACGTAACTCTGTTGTTTGAAGGTAGTAGGAATAGTGGATGTCATGCAGCTTGGGCCGGTCCAGCCTGGATTACACTGACACCTGGCCTCAGTGAAGCTTCCAACGCACGTGCCATGCTCCCAGCATCTGAACGTAGATTCCTGATTATTGCAGATCTCATCAGTCTGCGGGCAACCGGCTACACTATTCCTTGACAATCCCGGATGTGCCAGATCGTATAATTTACTATTGTGAAACAGATTCCTTATGCAACCATCGAATAGCTTCCCATTGGGCATAGATTTCCACTTGAACTGGTGCTGGTCGAAATGCTCGATAAACCATCCGCCTATTTGCAGAGGTGCATTGACATTCAGATACTCGTTGAAGGGAGGTACTGTTCCAGTTGCCTGACACGAGCTGTCATCGAATGCGGGTGGTGTTCCATCTTCCAATTCCGTTATCTCTGCGGACTTGCAGAAGTCGACGACGAGTCTCACTGTCTGTAAATCATGAATAATGGTCGTTGTTAACGAAGAGAAATTGAAAGAGCGACGACAACGGTAATTAATCATTAAGGAAAATGGCACAATGCGAAACACAAGGCTGAAATGAAGCACTTGTTTAAAGCTTTTATTGAGCTACAAGAAATAAACTGAATCCAGTCAGTGTCTCCGTCTTTTTTTACATTTCATTATCTGCTAAATATCCAATATTTAATTGAAATGAAATATTATTTAAAAAAGGATTTTGACAAATTTTTACGAAAAATGTATGTAGATTGTCAATTTAATGGGCCATTACGTAAAACAACAAGAATTTCTCCGTAACGATATCCAAGTACGACAATGTAAGCTACGGAATAGATCGTAAACCAGGAAAAACCGTAAACTGCAATTGATTGAAAGATTTGTCTTACTGAAAGACGAGATAAAAAGATCAGTGGTATCGAAAGGATACGTTTCCCTTACCTCAGTTGTCCAGAAAATATCCAATCGATGCCACTCCCCATCATCCAATGGCCTCTTCGTCTTCACCTTGAGCTCCAAAGTACCCGATCCAAAATCAATGAGCAGCCTGGGAACACCTCTATCCAACTCCACGGATATAAAATCTAAAATCCCAAGCGAGAAATGACCAGATAATACCACAACCCAACGCACATTACATAAACTTGTTTCACCAAGTTATCAAAAGTTCACTAACCAGAAACCATAATTTCATCAGTCTCGGGTGGTACAATGGGTCCATTGTAGAGTAACAAACCGTCGGGTTTTCGTGTGATAAATTCAAAACTAAGATGGCTATTGTCACACATCTCTAGGGCCGGATACCAAGCCCACCCTGTGCCTTTGAAACTTCTGGTAGTCTGTTGACATCTGGGTCCATTATAACCCGCTGGGCATTGGCACCTGCAAGACAATATTTGATGTGTTAAATCAAACATTTAGCAGACGACCTAATTCCTTTCAAAAATACAATCCCCCTCCCTCTCCCCTCAATATCCGGCAAGTTACCCTCACCCAATATTTTACTTACGTTAATCCAAATCGTCCCTCGATGCACCTACCACCATTGTAACAGGGAGTAGTTCGACATGACTCAGTTGTACTAAAGTTTCTTGCACCGCAAGTGCACTGTGCAATCACATCAACACGAACTCCAACCAGTGCAGTCTTATTAGCATTTACCATGTACGGTAAATTATTAATATCGAGGGTATTGGTACAACTTCCTTGGCACATATGATTCTCATACAGACACTCATCGATTCCTACCATGGTGATATTAATTCCAACATCCTTCTCAATTTCCTCGCGATGCATAAGTACAATACCGTTTAATCTCACTGGTTTATAATACGGTGAACCGTGAGCTGCGAATCTTATGTCAGTCACTGGTGGATGTTTTCTTCTCATCTGTACACTAAACACATCAACATTGTCCCTATCAATGTCCAATAAATTAGCTAGTTTGTCTCGGAACAGATCAGCTTTGCTGCGCGTCACTTTGGAATCTCTGTAATTCCACACGCGAATGAAATCCTCGTCTGATATTCCAGCTATACGAATTGAGCCGGAGTTAAGTACAGCATCGTGGGGTATTGTTTTTACTGTTACTGTTACATTAGCTGGTACGTCGGTCTGGGTGTGCTTTCTATCGTAAACTTTGAATCTTAGGTGATATTTGCCGTCGTGAGTACCCGATTTCATCGAAATCATCCCCGAATCCTCGTCAAGCTTGAATTGGGCGTGTTCAAGACCCTCCCAGTAGAATTTCTTATCTGGCAAATCCCAGTCATCCAGGTCAAAAACATAAACACGACCTATTTCAGTATCTGGTGATTGTCCCTGTAAACATCAAGGGTAATTACTTTTTTCCTTCATCTTCCCGCAATTCGTTAATGTTTAAAGTGCATAATTAGAAACTGAGCGACGGCTCCAGGGGATCTATAGAGAATACTCGGTTGAATCATTCCAGTGCTTCCTTCACTCTGGAATGTTTACCACATCAACATGCGCGAGAATAATATTGAATTTTCAGGTGACGGGGTGCAGGTAAATTCGTAATTCGAAATGTTGAGAGAATCCTCAGCGATTCAACAATAACATGTAGCATATTGATCTTGTACTGCGAAAGCCGCTAAATAATTTCATATCCTCAAAGAGATGATAACGATATTTGCACACGAATGGATATTTCAGGAATAATATTTTCACTTTTGGTTTGCGGAACAATGTACAATAAAAGATGGAATGGAATAATTCAGGTGAGTGGGTATGAATAAAATTGAGTGAATCATTTGAAAGACAACTTACCGCGTAGTTGTACACAAAGATGTCTTTGGAGCCTGGTTGCATCTTGTTGTCATTAATATCTCCAATGACAACAGTCAAAGTACTTGTACCAGCCATCAGTGGGCTGCCCGAGTCTTTGATAATAATAGGGATTAAATATTCCTTCTGCTGTTCTCTGTCGAAAGTCCTCAGGGACGACACAATGGCCATTCCATCTCCATTAGCTCCTTTGTTATCACTCTCAACTTTGAAACTTGCTCTGATTATGTCGTCGGCATTGGGATCCATGCGGAATGTAAATGATGGACCATTGCTTCTTGACCTGTCGTCATTGTCTGTTGCCAAAATTTCAACTACTCTCCTCGGCGTTGCAAATTCAGGTAGAACTGGTCTGTAATCCTTCAGGAATGTGGGTGGATTATCGTTTATATCTTGTACAATGACAGTTAACGTTGCAGTGGCTGTTTTCGGCGGAATTCCGTCGTCGATTGCGAGAATTTTTACCTGAAAATAATGATTATATTTATGAGAGCCTCGGCTTGAGGGTATTGAGGCAATTTTGTCCCTTTCAAAGAATTATCTACTCGAGTTTAAAACTTGCTCTCTATCTCTGACGAGTTAAGTTGAAAAAAAAGTGATATATTACTTGATGCCTTGGTGTTTCCTCGCGGTCGAGACTTCGTTGGATAGTGACTGTGCCATTTTCGTTGATGTGAAACTGTCGTTTGCGGTCTGAGCTGCGGTCTATAGCGTAAGATACTTTGCTCTTGCCACCCTGATCCGGATCAGTGGCTCTAAATGTTTCTAAACTATTACCAACACTAGCGTCTTCGAGTACAGTTGTTTCAATGTTCGCTTTTTCAAATTGTGGCTGATTGTCATTAATGTCCCTCAACTTAACGACAACCCACGAGTAGGCCACATGGTACTTGTCATTATCATTGTCCTCACCCTTTATTAAACAACCAATACGCCCATTAAACATCGTAACAATAAAATTATCGTGGTTTACAAATAGCCTGAACAATTGAGAGTAAAGGTATCCTGTACCTTATCGTTCACTTGAATTCTGAATCGAAATCCATTACTCTGGAGTTGATCCTCAAAGTCTAATGGCTGTACGATTTTCAACGAGCCAGTGCCATCATTGTTTCTTACCATAGTGAACTTGTCTGCTCCAAATCCACTATTGTCAAGTACCTGAAAAACATCATGAATAGTAAGAGAGTCGAATCACACGCAAAAAGAGAGAAGTAACTTGGCCATTTGCATCAAGCACGAATGCACCTAAAGTGAAGGAAAGATAAGGAAAAAGAACATCAAAGTAGATAAAAAAAAAAGGAAAAAAGGACAGAAAAAAAACTTGGAAGCAGTACGTTTTTGCCACTCGTTCTCCCCTTATTTTTCACAGCTTATCGTCCAGAAGTACGAAAAGCGAAATTTTATTCTCGCTTCAACTTCTTCCATACCTTGTACTGGAATTTGTTGGTCTCATCGTCGTCGTGTACCGTCACCGTGAGAATCGGCATTTCCGGTAGAGTCGTTCCCTCTGTTTCATCCACTTCTGTGAACCACTCGTCCTTGGTGAATTGTGGTGGCATGTCATTTATATCTTTTACTCGTATCGATGCAGTACCCGTACCTGAAGCACCATCGGACCATAAAGGATCGCTCTCATATTCTTTTTTTTTTTTTCGTTAACAATTCGTTTTTATCGTGCCGTTTGGTTTAACGATCATAGACATCACGAAAAATTCATGAAGTTATCGTAAAAAATTGAAATACGCACCCTTTAACGAGCCACCATCCACCGCGACTATTTGTATCGAATAGTCTGGCGTTCGCTCTCTATCAAGACAACAGACTGCTGTTTTTATGACACCTGTTTCTTGCTCAATTTCAAAGATTGGAGTGCCTGTCTCCTCTTCAATTACGTTCTTCTCGATTGAATAAATTAGCTTGGCATTTGTTCCCTCGCTTGGATCGTCGTAGTCGATGGCAGTCATCGTCATTACCAGCATTCCTGTTTCAATAATTACATGTTTCACTTCAAACTGGATTAATTGAGGTGACCTATTTTTTGTGAAGTGATTGAAGGGAAAAAGATTTAACAAATAGATGCGATGCGAAAGTCAATTACTTCTAAATTTTTTTTTTGAGGAAAATCAATGAGCAAATGGAAATGCTATTCATTCAAATAAATTATTCAAAATACTGATTTATAATGTTTAAGTTGACGAATGGCTCAAAGAAGGATAAATAATTAATTGAATAACGGAAATAATCGAATTCCTCTTCCTACTTTCACGGAAAATAATTTCGCTCATGTCGCAATTAGTCTTAACAATGAATAATGACCTGATGTGCCATTTTCCGTGACATTGCCGTGATAAACACCCTGCGGGAAGACAGGTGCATTATCATTGATGTCCTTGAGATTTACTTGAACATCAGCATAGCCAACGAGACCCTCACCACCCTCATCTTGAGCAAACACCGTAAATCGCCACTGGGGTCTGCCATTGGGTTGATCTCTGTCCAGTGGCTGGAAGAACCGATAATTCGATAAAGTGAGGAGCGGTAAAAATGAAACAATCGGCAAAGTACACAAAGCATGAGAAAGGTACTTTGAAAACTTTTGAAACAACAGATGGCACTCTAAAACAAGGAGAACAAATAACTCAAGGAGTTGACGGCCAGAAAGATTGTGGAAATCAATGTGTTTACCTTCAAAACATAAATTTCCCCAGTTGTACGATTTATATCGAACTTGCTGTTTGCCGGATTGTTGGGATCAATCCCCTGACCGGTCAAGAAGTAAACAATATTCTGGGGCCTGTCCTTATCACCGTCGGTCGCCAGTACCTAAATAGCAAATATCATTTGTCTAACTCTATCAAATTCAATTACACTTTTAATTATTCCACGATTTGGTTTAATGATGAAATGAGTGTAACCAGGGAATAATATAACTTCTCTGTAATCCTGAAAATTTGAGGAGTTCTCTCAAGTTTGGAATACTTCTGATTTCAAATTGGTGCATTTGAGGGCTCGTGGTGCCTCGAATGCGGGAGTATTTGAAATCCTCGACTGCTTTCTTTGATGTTTACGGATGTAAAAAGGGGGCTTTAACTGGATAATTTCAGAGAAGTTTTAATTTCTTTCAGTATGTTCGTAATGTGCGATGAATTACTGCTTGAGCCCTTGGCAATTCAGAGGGGATGCTGGGAATTTATCAATGTTTCAGGACTGAGAGCAATTTTCCAGAGTTAATACTTATAATTTGAAACTTCAGATGTTGTCAACAGTCTTGTAATTAAGGAAATGGTACCGGACTGGTTACCGTACTGTAACGTTCACCTCGATTAATGGTCGCTTTTATTGTTCAAGTTTTATTCGTCTTCTTATTCATTCGGGTTGGCACCAATGAAAGAATAAACATTTACCATTATAAAAAGCAGTTGATATGTCTCGTAAAAAGGATCATTATAAACAGCAAGATGTTTTCATAGGATCTATTGGCAGCGGAGAACAGTGTAACTTCTGAAAATTGATGTAGGTCTGACCATAAATTGAGCTGCCAAGGACTCTTCTCATATATTCATATTCGACATCAATAATTTAAGTACTTTTCAACAAATTCTCAATAGAATATTCATGATAATCGTAAAATAGTTTCCGATTTTTCTCTTTTTGCGGAAAAATTTTCTGGAGTTGATACTTCAAATTTCTCAGTACAAGTACTATAAACAGAATGGCGATTAAAACAGCAGTTTCTATGCTGTACTGTTCGCTTCGATTAACAGTTGTTTTTATTTTCCATATTTTATTGGTTTACATAGTGAGTCAGACTGCTACCGGCGGATAAAATATTGGGAATGCAAGAAATGTTCATGAAAAACAGATAGAGATATTTTGGGATATTGATATTCCCCTGCAATTTGAGTTTTGCTAAAATTCAAGGACTTCCAAGGTAATTGTGAAGATAGCAGTCGAATAATTTTGCTCCTGCTTCAATTCCAAAACAGTAGATTTTGCCGAACTTCAACTCATCTCGTAATGTCCCCAGACCATCAGATTCAATTAAACTTTCCACGGTAAAACGATAACAAACCTGAAGAACTCGTTTCGGTAAAGTTCTATCATCCTCTTCAGTGATTTGCGTTCTATAAGTTGGGCGTTCAAACACTGGTGGATTATCATTAACATCTTTAACATGAATAACGACAGTTGTGTAATTCTCCTTGAGGTTGTCTGACGCAGTTAACTTGAGCTCGTACTGTGAATTAAAAGGAAAAGCAGTTGAAATAAATGTCTCCGAGTCAGAGTGCACGGTACCAATTGATAAGGGATGCTATTGGCATTTATGTCGATTGAGCTTGCCCTTTTTTTTCTTTTTAACAAATCAAATTGGCATGTGGAGGGAAATAATCGGGGTGTATAGAATTTTTCTTTCGCCTCGTTTGCACTTACCCGCTTCCTCGTTTCGTAATCCAGTGCACCCGCAACATAAATTGCCCCAGTCATGTTCTTCACCGCGAATGCACCACCTAGGTTACCGCTTGTAATCTCATATCGAATACGCGAGGCTGTCGGGAGTGAAATTTTACCAGTGAGTGATGGATTTGGGGTTTAAAAATTATTGGTAGTAAAATCCACTTGACATCATGATGCACGTGAAGGGAGTAATTCATGGAGGGAATTTACCTTGCACGTCTCCGATAGATTTACAGGGAAAAAAACTTCATTGATTCTTCCAAAAAAATGTCTCAACTGTAGAAATGAAATATTCATGAAAATGTTGTTGAGGTAATTAGTGTTAACGCGCTGTTACTGTTACGTAGTAATATTTTTGTTGAATGCAAAAAATTCGTCCTCGATCTGCCAATTAACTCCGAGTTGTTCTGCATTCGTTATTTCGATGAATGAAAAGGATCGCTCGGGATGTGATTCATTGTATTTCGACGATGATGAAAAAAATATCAGCCGGAATCCGAATGAAACAGTAAATCCACCGAATTGCAGTATAAATCGTTCATTGCCCAGATATCCATCAAATTTTTAACGCCAAGGCATGAGCTCGTAAATTCTGAATGAATCGCGGCAAATACGAGAAATACATACTCCTATTAATTATTCGAAATTCAAATTGTGCCATTCCCTCAAACATTTACATTAATCAATTTCATTTCAATTATTGGAATTAGCTACACGAGTCTCATGAATAATATTGAATAATAATTAATTTGTCAAACGCAAACACTCGTATTCACAACTTCATGCTTGTGATTTTCGGAGTGACGACAATCAAGAGCTTCGAATCGTATTAAATGCGAGAAATTCCAATCAGCAATTTAATATATTTACTGTCATTCGCGAATTATTTCTTGTTAAAGCGATTTCTAAACCGATGGTAAACAATCAGAAACAATTCAGAATTTTTTTTCTGAATGACACTAAAGCATAACTAAATTAAAAAGTTCCAACTTTTCACCTGATCATCTGAATAAAAAAAAATTCTCCACAAAATCACTCCCTCCAAGAATTTCCACTGAATAATATATATTCTGAATTGATTTCAGAAATATCAATGATTACGGAGTGCTTACATTCGTCGTGATCCTTGGCGGTGACAGTGAGTACAGTGTGTTGAATATCTTCATTTTCATCTACCTCAGCCTCGTAGAGGCTCTTGTCAAAGTACGGTGGATTATCGTTTTTGTCAGCGATTCCAATCCGAATGAATTTCGTCACTGCAACAGAAATCAAAGAGAAAGCCATTAAAAAGCTTGAATAAAAACCAATGAACCCTGAGATAAGTAGATCACGAAGTGTTTTTCACCCTGATAATTACATATTCTTGGAAAAGTTGATGTTAAAAAGTGTCAAGGGAGAAGTCTGGCCAAGTGGGAGCATAGGGTAGAGTCTCGTTAAGCCCAGTACCCTACCAAACTTCCTCCCTATAATTAATGGAGCGAACGAGCTACTGTCGAAGAGCGATACCCAAGGCGTCTCCTTGAGTTTGTGAAACTTGGTTTAACACATCCCATTGGGGGAAAATGGCCTGGAAATTCAATGAATGTAAAGGAGTGAACTAAGTAAAATCCCTCATCACCGTTGGTCTTTGTCATTGAGAGATTCCATTTAATGATGTGAATTTAATTGGGCATTTCGGCCTCAAGTCGTAGTTGCACGTTTAATGTTGACTTGCCGTTTGCCTCGTGGCGATGTGATGTATCAACGTACCCCCTTCTATTCTACCTCAATTCGCCCTTTACCACATCTCTCTGCCTAGGAAACGCAGATGTGCAGTTTAGAGATGTACTCGTGTGAGGTACGATAATTAAACCGAGTTTCACTGGGGTTTGTCTGTGTATATAAACGCGTAAATCCTGTTTGTGGAGCATATACTGTGTTTCGCCATTGATATACAGGGAATGCAAATCCAATTCTTTCTCCGGCGCCTCATTAAGTCTGTGCGACTCGGTTAATTCCAGTGATTATTACTAATGATTGCATCCACTGTGGAAAAAATTCGTCAGAGGTTTCGTACGGATCTTGGAAATTCTGAGGAAACACAGAAAAGTTTGTTTTTTTCATTGCCAGAGAAATCACAACCCTCTAGAATTCTCGGTTAATGAATAATTCGATTAACCATTTTGGTAATTATACTGAACGTGATAAGCAGTAATCTGGTCTCAGTAGGAAGCACAATTAAAGAAAATTCTTTAATTGAGAAATGTATTAATTTCCTTTTTTTTGAGGAGCTTTAGTGAAATTCGAGCGAATGGATGTATATTCAGAGGAAATATGTCTGCAATTACTCAATACCAACTGGGAGAATAGTCGGGTAAGTTGAAAATATACTCGACTTCAATGGAAGTAGACGTATTATCATGAGGACCTCTTTCATGAGGTTGGATGGAAGCTACAAGGAGGACTTCTGGGAAAATATCTCTATCTCCTCAGAAACTCCTCAGAACTGCAAGATATTTTCAAAAAATGTGCTCGGAGAGAAATTCACTTAGCCGGTTTTACCCCTTCACCACTGAATTCTCGTTTCACCACTTCTCTGCTCAACAAAATGCCATACGGCATTTTAATGGATATCTACGTTTTGTTGCGTGTGGGTACAGAATCCAGGAAAGAATTATCACAGCCACATTCCCACGATAGGTTGCATCATTATTTCCAGTATGACTCTTCGTCGTTTAATGTCACTTGCCAGCATTGTTTTTATATAGTGTCTTTTCACGACACTCCCACACCCGTGCAATGTAGTCACCGCAAAAAAAAAACTAGACATATTTCAAGCTCAGGAGGAAACTGCGAAAACTACTGTGAAATTCCAACTTCATTTCAGAGTTGTTCGTCCCTCTGAAGAAGAGGAATTATTTTTTTAAATTATTGTAGGCAAATCCCCTGAAGACAGCAGTGCCCGAAAAAAAATGAAAATTTTTATCACGGGTTTCTACCAGAAAATGTGGATAAATTTGCACGAAAAATTCTAAAAATAAAAGAGTATTTCAAATTCAAGTGAAAATTGGTGGTAATACAAACGTATAATAATAAAAAAATCCTGGCAGCACAGACCGATATTATTTCCCGGATTCAACTGCATACTTCAAATAATATTCGATGTTGGAAAAAAAGAATTCGAGTGGGATTGGGTTATTTTAAAATAAAATAATGTGGGATTGGGATATTTTAAAATAAAATAATTCACATAATTTTTATCCTATTCGAGTGGTCTTTTTGACTGTAAATTTCCACGGAAAATATTCAACAATCTACTTTTGAAAAAGTGATGGCCAAGCGAAATTGGCTTTTGCCAATTCCAATTTATTTCGACACATATTACCGATAGCCAAATGAGGTTGATACGAGTTGAGCAGTTCACCGATCCGTGGAATTTTGGTCGATCACTGGTGATCCCCATCGGTGATTTTCACATAGCCCCATCAGGTGTATGTACTCCCACCGTTATCTCCCCATACAACGTAGCAACATTGCAAATCCCCCTGTCTCATTGCAATCTCAGGTTCTTAGTCGTTGCCAGTGTGGTGTCCAAAGTTGGAAACTAGAGGACACGATTCATCGAGCACCAAAGCTACCCCGTTGCGACGTAATTGCCCATCTCTCACTTCTGGTTGTTGTTTCTCTTTCATGTCGATGGCATGATATTGGTTTCATGCCATCGTGAAGCAAACGCCAAGTTATATTGGAGTTGAATGGAAAAAAGAATCGAGTGGTATTGGCAGATGAATTTTTTTTAAATCGTACTTGTGCAATCCATGGGGATATTGATATCACGTTAAGGAGAAGTCGTTAGGGGCATTTGTATCTCCTACCCTAGACCAAGTTTGATGAATTTCCCGGGAGGTGAATTCAGTTTATTTATCCCAGGGGTTCTTTTTAATCGAATATGGAGTGATTTTTTTGTGCCGACTGGAGATGCCCTTTCGCGTTAATTAAAATTCAGCAGGTAAATGGATTCAAATTGGAATGATACTCGAGTTATCGATTTATTGACGAAAATGTAAGTGCAACCCTTTGGGCAGTAACTCTCTTCCGCACTGATAGAGCCCCATATTTTATCATCTCTGAAAGGATTCCCTGATGAATAAAAATTGTTTCATGGAATTAAAAAAAATTTTCCATGCTGCAGTCTGTTTTCAAAGCCGGGAATTTTTTTTAATTCTACTCTATCTGGAAGTGCATCCTCACAAAATACTCAAATGTATGACATAATCCTTAAATTGAAATATCAAAATAAAATACGAACATATTCATGCAGACTCAGTGATAAAATTCATTCCTACCCAGACGAAAGTTTTACTTGCAAAAAAAATTGTATTGTTCATCTCATTGATATTTCCTTAATTATCAAAAACATTTACATTTTTTTGTATATTTTTCTGTGTAGAATCAAGTCTACTGTAGCGGTAAAATTTTTCTTTGAAGAGTGAAATACTTGGAATAATTGAAATAATTGAAATAATTGCGAAAAGCTTTGGAATTAATAAAAAATTTTGCATTATTCTAAAATGAAAGGATTGACTAGAAGACTAATTTGCTCTTCTCAGAAGAATTCAATCTCTCAAATCTCGTCGACATCGAATCGACGAGAGAATTGTGAAGAGAAGGAATTTGAGACAAGAAACTTTATTTTCCTCGGTGCAGAGAATAAAATATTTGTCAATTAGAAATGAGTACATCACTTTGTTTTCCAGCTCATGCACAAATGTATTGTGACGTTTAAAATGGTGTCGTAAATTCCGAGATAAAGCGTCTCCCCATGCATGACAAAATGGCTTCTGAAATAAAATGGTTATTCCGTCTTGGGCGGGGAATTTTTTTTATGAAGACTAGACAAATGTCAGTGAAATATTCTTGAAGAAAAGTCGTGAAATAAAGTGCGGTAGAAAGGTACTACTGTTTATACGTTTCGATATTTTTTATTGTCACCTGTCGGCAATCGTTTCCCACTTGAAATCTCGTTGATCCCACACCTTTCGAGCCATAAAATGACTTTATTCTTTTCATATCCTGTCTTTATTCCCAGCTCTGGACGTGAATCCTGGACTTTAGAGAGTCAGGATGAAGCGACAGAATTGCTGTGAGGGAAGGGTAAAATCACCGGAGAATTTTTGAGCTATTGAGTAGAGTGAAATAGCGATATTTTACATCGCGTCTGTAGCCTGGAGGATCGATAGTGCCAATTGGCCTGCGTTCGCCTTTTTCAAAAATTTCCCATTGAAGCAAATCCGGAGTCGAATAGAATCGATTTTCATTGGTGAAATGTAGGTATTTGGGATAGGGATTTGCTGTTTCAGAAGGTCACAGGGAGTAAAAAATTCATGAAAGTATGAATTTGGGGCGAATTGGGAGGGAATCCGTTTTATTTTATGCACTGGACACGAAGGGAAATGGGATAAATTGTAAAAATACTTTTGTTCCCGGGATTTTTGTGATGGAAGCACTTCGTGGTTTTTGTTTCCATTCGAATCACAAGGACCAATCATTCGTGAACAGCTTGAATATTTTTGCCTATATGAGATATTCTAAATTAAAATTGCATAGTAAACAGGGAGAGCAATTTTTTTTTTGGGAATATTCCAGTGCTATAACGGTATTGGGTATGAATTAATGGCGATTCATCGCGGAATTTGAGTTGAAATTTTACTTTTTTCAACGTTTGAATGATTTAATGACTTCGAACATTGTAGGAATATCTATATTTAAAAGCGTTTTGATTCTCCTTTGATCCTGGATATTAAGCTCAGCTCTCGCTATAACTGATGTAGGTATTCGCCCTCGTATGAGATTACTCGATTTTATTTGCAGATTTTAGTGCCTATCAGAATTGGAATGATCGTTCAATGATTTATTGATGGCTTTCATGTGGTTGCTAATCCTCCAGGTTAATTATGCAGAAGGCAAAATAAAAATGCTTTAATGCGGTGTGAATTTGATGCGCTGTATTTGGGAAAATGTAAAACGTTTCATTACATACATCAAATTTTTATTGCTTTGCATTGAAAATGGAAAAATATACATAGAAATTTTTCATTGAAATCCCAACATTAGTCAAATTCAGGAGAAAATACTGTTCCACTGAATATTCTAGGATAGGAATATGTAACAGACGCTCCACCGCATTTTCAAATCTTTCATGGAGGAATTTTCTCCACTAAAAAAATTCACCTGCAATTACTGTTCACGTTCATCCAATTCAATTAGACAAAGATTC